ATCGGCTGTAGTCTTTTTTTTTTTTTGAGGAAGTGGAGAAAGAAAGGATATCGATCGTTTTCAATTTTTGTTCAATACTTTGGGCCGGTTATTTACACGAGATTTAATCCAAACTGCGGTTCTACGCAGGCAATGGGCCTCAGGGATTCTCTCTAAGAAAGTTGATTTAATTAAATAAATGTCCTTCCAGTATTAGCTTTAGGCCCTCTTGACACTGTTCACAAGAACGAATGTTCAGATAAAAGATTCAGCTAAATTGACGAAAGGTTTGAACGCAGTTTCGTTAAACAAGGGCTAAACTTTGATTAAATAACCGGCCCTTATGTTTTCCACGGCTTTCACTAAGATTGCACGATTTAAATTAAGGTGTTAAAGCATTTTAAGAGTAAATGATGCCTTGATAGTTGCATGTCAATAACAATTATAATTTTTTATTTGTTTTTTTTCTCTTCAACCGAGTCAGGTTTATTTGACGAGAATTGAAAGACGAAGCGGATCCGTTGTTGGATATCCGATTGCAAGAGTTGTTGTTAGTTTTGACCGCATAATTTTTTTAAAATCAAGACTAGGAACCTTATTCAAAAGACTTTATTTTGCTACCTCTGTTATGACAGATTCATGATTAAAATTGGAAAGAGAGTTAAAATTTATAAAGAAGTGAAAGATATGCGCTTATGCTCTTTACCAAATTTAAATTTTGCGGTTGGGAAAAGAAGTTTTTCATTATTTCCCTTTATTTTTCTGACACGAAAATATCCTCCGTGAAGATAACTTGTGTTGCAATAAAATGAAAGGTAGCGAAATTCGTATTTGAAAAAGGTCTTCATCAAAAACCATTAAATGATTTTAAAATTAAAAAGTATCATATGAAAGTTTGTTTAAAAGGCACGTTTGCGCATACATATTGTGACAACATCTAAAATTTTAAATACTAACGATCAAGGAAATGATTTAACCTAACACCTTATTCCAATGTGGTTAGTACATTCAATCTCTCTTACGGTCACTGGATTTTTTTTGTATGTTTAATTGGTTTTTGTGTGTCCATTAACCCTAAAAGTTTAAGTGTTAATGATGCGTTGATATTTATATGACAATTGTAATTGTAATTTTTATTTGTTCCTATGTCTTATGAGTTAAAGTTTTTAGGTTAAAATATATGTACACTGTAACTTATTATCTGTGTCATGACTCTATCTGTCAAATATTCATCTTTGATTTTGTAAACAGTGCTTTTATTATAATGTTTTTTGCTAAATAGTTGTGTTTGGTCCCTTCGCCTTCTAGCCTGGTTGTTCAAAGGGTTGATAACACTATCCACTGGATAGCTCGCCATCCAGTGGATAGCACAGAAGGTTTTGTTGACACGTATCCTCTGGAGAGCGATTTATTCGTTGAAGGGAATTATCCGCCCTTTGAACTGCTGGGCCTTGGTGTAAAGGTCTGAATGAACTCTGTCGTGTTCTCTCATAGCACTGATTCAGCCTCTGGGACGATCAGGTTAAACTGGTTTCTTTTTTTTAATTCCAGGCTGACTGGGACGACCTAGATTATGGAGCCACTCCAAAAGGAAGTCGCAAAATGTTCGTCAACCTGGACGACACCGATAGCCTAGGCCGAGTAAACGAGATGTACGAAGATGACGATGATACCCAAGACTTTGACGACCTAATTATTGCGTTGAAGACTGGGGGCCAATTTGAACCAACAATGGACGAGGAAAAGGACCTGGATATGGGTGATCCGGGAGATGAACAGTATGCAATGAGAAGAATCTCTATCGCCGATACACATTTATAACAAACGCTCCAGTGTGAACATTTTTCTATTTTATTTACTCTTACTGTATAAACAGAAGCTTAATAATTGTACAGATGATGTGCTAAACCATTATGACTGCCATGCAATAATGAATAATTTGATAAGGTTTTGTGCTTTAAATATTTGGCCTCAACTTTTCAAGTTAGTCCTTGGAATCCAGGTATTTTTTCTGATCCTTTTTTAAAAAATTCTATATTGAAGTGCTTTCTTGTTTTATCAAGCCAAACATTGGTCGTGTCCCTTTTACTGAATGGAAATTTATGTTTTGAAGGAATTGAATCAAATTATTTGGAAGTAGATATCTTGAAGAATTCAAACGAAACCTACCCTTAACAGCTTGTACTCTGAGATCGGAAAGCACTATGTAGCTGCCCTGCCACTTTATTTACCGCGCTGAGAGATATTATATAAGTGTGACTTAACATTATACTTCAACCATTCATAACATTACGAGATATTTTAAAAGAATGTCGAAATAGCTGAACATTTTAAATCAGGCCGTTTTAACCCTACATACGTTTATTTTTGGCCCGTGCTCAAAGATATATTTTCGTTTCTAGATTTTGTATCGCTTCTTTTTTTTATTTTTTGAAAGACCCTAAGTGGGTCTTTTTTTTTTCGATTTTGTAGAAAAATAGCCAAGACTAATATGGATAAAGATAAATTTTTGTTTAATCAAATTTAATTGCGTGTTAATATATGTAAGTATTTCTTCGAAATTGTAGGAACGGATTTGTGAAATACAAAAAAATATCCAAATGTCTTTATTTAATGTGCTGTTTACTAAAAGCCTGGTGCTCTCAAGAAACGCTTGTTTAGTCTAGAATGGATTAACTGAACTATGAAATTTTGCTTAATGTGGTGTGAATATGAACAAAAGCGGAATAATACATTAAAGAAACGTATTTTAACTGTATAAGAATTGCCATGCATCTCGTAATTGTCCGCTCTATCACGCTTCTTTCAGTCACTTTTCTCTCGAACTCTTTTTGTTTTTTCCTTCTCCTGGTTCCTATTCGGAGGCCCCTCACATGAGTGATATTTAGTCATTCCAGTTTCTTGTTTGCGGTACCTTTGAATGGACGTTGGCGGAACTCAGTGTACCCCTTCTTCACACTATGTCATTACGTTGGGTCCAAAAACACGTTTTTATTTTCCCTCACTCGTAGCTTGCTAAATCAATCGCCGAGAAACGATATTAGCCTCTCTACTTTTCCTAAGGTATGGCCTTTCTCCTTCATTTTATCATTTTTCTTGCCAGGCAATTGATTTCCTTGTTTAGAAGCGTTTTCCCGGCCCTCTTTCCTTCCTCTCCATCCAAATTTATTTCCAAACAGACTGTATTTTACAAAAAATCAAGGAATGAGTTACAAGAAATACCTTTGAAAACTTTGCTGAAATTCAATCCTAACATAGAAAACTTCCCGTTTACCTTGGGGTTTAATTTGCACGTGAGAATTTCTAAACTCATTTGCATTTAGTATATTGTGAATTTATCTGAAACGAAAGTGAAGATCGGGAGGCAAAGAAGCCAACTTGTATCTATAATTGGAAACCTCGAGGATTTTCTTGATAGCTTGCCACCGGTCACAGCAGAGAGAACGGTTCTATTCGTAATTACAAGTAAGTTGTAGTGCAATGAAGTTAGAGAATATTCAACTAACGGTAGGCTCGTGTTTCCAACTTGTGCTTTCGAAAAAAAAGCCATGACTTTATCGCTCCTTAGACTGACAAGACATTCGTTCGTGTTCTCCCTTTTTCTCTGTAAAGAAACCTTGAAACCTTGTAAAGAGACCTTAAGAACGTATTTGTCCATAGCACACCGTTCTGGCTTTGTATTTGTGTGGTCGATGGACCTCCTTTGTCCAAGTAAACCGAAACGATTATTGACTGAAGCGCGTTATTGTCTCATAGCAAACATACCCGCCGTAGCGGGACGAATACCACAAAGCAAACGTGGAAAAAAAATCGCTTCCGCTACTACACCTTCACACTCTTATCAGCTCGATATGTAACCTGTATAAAAGACGCTCAAGGGCTTCGGATCAGCACATGTGAGCAAAAAATAGATCTTTGGCCGGCACGAGTTCCTCCCGTTCTCGGCCGTACTCGTTCTCCCGCTATCCAAGAAAGTGTTCCTGCACAATTTCTTTCAATTGGCTTCTGAATAACTGCAGTCTTTTCCGGTGAAGTGCTGATATAATGAAATAATTACACGCTATTGCGGTGAAGTGCTGATGTTATGAAATAATTGCACTATTCCGGTGAAATGCCGATGTAATGAAATAATTGTATTCTATTCCGGTGAAGTGTTGATGTCAATCACTAATCAGCTCTAATCCGCCAAGCACAACAAAATTATCACGAACTAAGTGCTTCGTTACAGTATCCACGACTGAAAGGTCATAGCTAAAGGTTGCGCATAATATTCCAGGTATTTTAAGAAGTCTTTCCACTCCGCAAGTGCTCGGTCCTTCCGATTTTCCTTTCATAAGGCGCAAAGTTTATCCCTAGGGGGGTGGGTTAAATCCAGCACTCGTAATTGTAAGATGATAAAGCTTTGCGTCAGGGTAGAATTCACGAACTGGTAAAATTCATCCGAAAATATAGCTCGAGTGATAAACATGGTTTATTACTTCTCTTTCAATGCGACTTACTAGATGTCAAGTAGACATAAGACCAAACAATTAATGCATTGTAAAGGTTTTCTTGAGAACGCGAATCGATTTAACATCATATTGTGCGTTGCTTTTATCGTAGAGAATACCTTCCCTCTCAACCCCCTCCAGCCCTTCTCCCTCCCGGTAACATTCCAAGATGAAGATGATGAAGTCTTGGCGAGAATTCAGATTATCCACAAGTACGTTCACGCGGTTTAACCCTTAACCGGAACAAAACGTGGGAACTCCCGGTGGTGTTTAGCCTTCTCGAGTTGACTAAAAGCGACTCGACTTTTCTTTTCCGTTGGTCAATTTACCACGCACACGAAATGTTCAGCCTCTTTTCATGTTTTGTCTAGATTAGTAAAATATAAACAGTGCTCACCCAAACAAATGATACCCCGTCTAGGTAACCCCCAAGACACGGCGATGACAGAAGAGGTTGCCGACAAATAAGCTCACTCGACCTGAGACAATTAAGCGTGGCTTAGGTAGCGTATTTCGTGATTTGAACGAAAGGTCCCCTCCGGTTTGGTACTATGCGGCATGAAAGCATGGTTTTCACTTTACTCACTCGTTTTGGGATTTTCGCTTTGTGTTTTGTGAGACTCACTTCAACAGAAATAGCGTTTCGCGATAAACAACAAGGTGCTTTTCATGTTGTTATTATATTTGCTTTAATCGTCACGGATTTGTTTACAGCGATATCATTTCGTGACTGGAGATTTGCAGACTGATGAACTCATTCGGTATATCAATTCTTTCTGCAGAGCAACTTGCGAGGAATTTACAAGAATATGAAGTAGTCATTCCCGAGATTATTTCTGGTACTGCTTTGATACAGATTAGCGAGTTAAAAGATGTCATTGGGAGCGAAAGATTGCAAGTGAAGATCCGCGCTTTCGGAGAGGAATTCCTGCTTGATTTGAAGAAAAATTACAGACTCGTGGATTCCAAGTTCTCTAGTGAAATACTGAATAGTTTACATTCATCAGCGAAACGGAATATATCCAGGAATTGTTATTATATCGGAAGATTACGGTTTCGTTCGCAATCCAGTGTTGCCCTAAGCGGATGTCACGGGCTGGTAAGCGATGATAACGTTCCTTTGTTTATTTCTCACGTTTGCCTTTGTTTACAAACTGTTTTCATGTTGTAGCATATCCCGGGGAACTTATCTTTGATCTTCATGGATGAAAGGTTGAAAGACATATATATTTGCTTCTCTAGTTACCAGGTCCAGACGATCGCTCTAAAAGGTTATCTTTGTATCTTTGTTGTAACAGATGGGACTTATACAAACGATGGACGAAGATTATTTCATAGAACCTATGGCCAAGGCGGACATCCAATCCCATTTGGTTTACAAGAGGTCTTCATTGTTAGCATCACTACCGCAAAGTTCACCCACCTCCCGGAAATGTTCTCCATCAGCTCCTTATTCGCCAGGTAAACGAAGAATAGGATTATTTTAAATCTCTTAAAATTGTTTCTAGGATGACGCTGGTCCGATTTAATTTCACTGACTTGAACGGGAAGGCGATACAATGCACTAAGCTAGGAGGGGGATCCTATGGAAGATTCTTCCGAAATCGCTCGGATTATGTTGCGCTACAGGAAAGGGGATTAAGTACGTAGCATCAGTTACCATGACAGCAAGTGCGAAATGTTAGCGAGTGCTTCAAGTTTCAAAGGAATTCAAATGAATACAAAAACTGGAAACGAAACCAACATGGCTGATGCGCGTAGAGCAGTTGTTTGTTCATTAATAGAGGGATTCACCTACGACTCAATGCTTGAAGCGAGCAGGTCCGAAGACTGAAGTTCAAAATTTCCACCTAATAAACAGCAAGGAAAGAAAAAGCCATGTTTGTACAAAAAGCATTAAACAATCTGCGCGACAATTTTAAGTGCTACGTATTCGACTCGATTAAAACGCTGACACTCCAGTTTTATATTAAAGCTATAATTGGATTGGTCACAGCAACGTTCCCATGGAGGCAGGCTGCTGCGCTCTGTCTGTCGACGGAAAATAAGAAGGGAAATAATGTTATGCAGCATCGATAAAAAGGTTATTAGTATAAATTTGACAAATATGACGTATAATGTCTGTAATTACTCAAAAACCCTACATCAATTAACAAAATCATGATTCTAATTAAATGTAGACGTTGTAAACTGATCTAGCCACGTTTTATCTTGCCGTTTGTAGCAATTTTATAGATTATTATTCATTTTAGAGGACTTCCGATCACTTGAAACTTACTTTCTCATGGCATTCTTTCCATTCTTAAGATATGCAGGTGCGCAAAATTGACCTGATGAGCTGTGCATTTTTAGTAAGATCTCACTAATTTTCGTGACACTATCTTATCAATGTAATTTGTGGAATGGTTTCGTGCTCCGCGCTGAGAACAAGTTTAATGCACGGATTATAGGCTATTTAAAATTAATAACTAATATTAAACTTCTTGATAATAGTAGCCGTCACCAGATATTTTTCTCATAAATTATACAAGTCTTTTGTTTCGACTTTAAAAATGATGGAGAAATTGATATACGATTCCATTGTCAAGTAGTCAATACAATCATAATTTTTAATCAAATGCAGTCATGAACAAATCACATGCGTGATACTCTGTCCAAAAGAGCTTTAATAGCCTCGTTATAAATTCTCTGTAAAAAAATGAAAAAAATGATGGAGAAATTGATATACGATTCCACTGTCAAGTAGTCAATAAAATCATCATTTTTAATCAAATGCAGTCATGAACAAATCACGAGCGTGATACTCTGACCAAAAGAGCTTTAACAGCCTCGTTATGAATTCTCTGTAAAAGCCCTAAGAAGGTAAAATAGAGGAAATTTTAAAGAGATTTTGTCTGAGCCGGTTTATGTTTCCTCTTCTCTCTGCTGTGACCAGTTAACGGATCGGCCGTTAAACAGATTTCCTCCAGTTGGTATAAAATCCCACCTTGCAGAGCCAAATGGCCTGTCAGTCTTTTGATTGTTCTTGTCTCGAGAGCTTGTTAAGCTTAATCTCAGGATTATGAGGAAATTCAGTGATTTAATTAAGCTCATTTTAATCTCTCAAACTGCTTAAATTTGCACCCTTAATGGAGTCCATGCACAAATTATGGCTCACCCAATTCGTGTTCCCTTCTTTCTCCGTTGTGACAAGTCAAAGCAGAGGCCATAACAAAGATCTACTTCCGTAGCAATAAAACCCAATATTGTTTAGCTAAATGGACCTGACAGTCCGTTAATTTTTCGTGTCTTGAGAGTGTTACAAGTTTTATCCATGGATTATGAGGTTAAGTATTGAATAAAAATCCTTCCCACCGGAGAAAGTTAATTAATTCCTCCTCATAATATGAATTTGGCAAACTGCAAGTTAACAAGATTAATGAGGTCTTTGCAAAACTTAATCCTATTTTTTAACAATCTGGCAATTTACCAGCTGATTACCCAGAAATAGAACATATTGATCGTCGAATACGATGTCTCTTTGTCCAGATTTAATAATGTTGGCTCTTAAGGAAACTTTCTTTGTTTAATCTTTTGTAACGTTTTTTTGAACCCGATCATGCACGACGTGTAATGGCATTTTAGTGATTTTGAACGAAGTAACCAACAGATCCTTGATACAGTCACAATCTGTGGACATTAAACAAAGATGACACACAGAAGGGGTCTCCCAACATAATTCATGTTCATGACGGCTTTCGTTACCTCTCACCTCTTCTAACTGAGCTCTTTCTGATCGAAACTATCAAAATTCATTCTTCTGGATTTGTTAACAAAACATCTGCTCAATTTCTTTAGCTCATAGGAATCTGAAACACGCTAAGAGGCAATTTTGGCGAGAATCAGTTCGCCTTCAGCGTCGTTCTTTGGATGATGAGGCCACTGTCCAGCTGTTGGTTGTTGTTGATAGAGAAATGATAAATTTCCATGGCAACCAGTCCGTGGAGGAATATGTTTTAACTGTCATGAATATGGTGAGATAGACATATGCGCCATTTGGCACGCTTGTTCGTTCTAGTTCGTTGGTTATTATTCAGTCAGTCGTTTTTATTACTATTATTTTTATCATTATTATTATCACTACCACTATTATTATTATTATTATTATTATCATTATTATGATTATGATTATGAAGAGAAAATGATGGGACCCTTTCTTTTCTCTTGGTTCTTTTGGATGGAGACGAAGCCGAGGTCAAAAAAAATTATCTTCTTGCAAACGGAAGAAATTTTAGAAGTCATCGTGGTTTTCAAAATTTTGACTGACTTAAGTATGTTTGTCTCCAAAACTGTCAGAAAAAAATATTTTTTTTAACTTAAGATAGAAGATGAATGCGAATGGCATTGAGGACTTTGAGTTCTTTGATAAAGTTGTGGTTTTCAAATTGGCGCCGTAGATGATATGTTGAAAATAGTTTCTATTTTTTATTCTAAGGTGGCTGACCTGTACCGAGACCCAAGTATTGGAGAAAAGATAAATATTGAAGTATCCAAGCTAATACTTCTGTACAACATGCCTGTAAGTAAGAAAGTGCAACAGTACAACACAATTTTAGTCGAACCTTCAATAATGGCCGCTTACCCAACACAGCATTTTTTTCGTCCTGGGGAAGACATTTTAATTCACTCTTGTTTTAGCCTTTCAAGAAGGGCCACTCGACGAACCCCTCATGAGGTCAACGACTATTAAAGTAACCTCCAAAATATGTGCATTCTGTCTCTCCCACTTGATAGTAGACTGTTGAATGGTGAAGCACGACTTTCTTTGTGAGACAGTCTCGTACACACTATTTCACTAGAGAAAAAATGAAATTTCAGATGTGCTTAAAAGTTTTTTTGGAACGTACCTCAATATTTGTTTCTCTCTTTTTGATTTATCATGTTTGATTATGTTTGCATCAACATTCTACACCAAGTATTTTTGTGAGTGAAAAAGGTCTACCTTCCTTAAAAGACTGTCTCCACTCTCTCCAACGTGGCCGTTGTAGAAAGATTGAGCCGTTTTCATTTCTTGTGTGTTGCTATTTTTTTTTTGCTTTTCTCTTTTCTCTTTTATGAGATACATTGCGCAATCTTTTACAATCAGGCTGACAGAAACCTTTTCAAAACCTAATTGTTTCGTTTTTGCCTTTCTACTCGATAGAAAGGCCTGTCAATCACCCATCATGGAGACAGGACGCTGGAAAGTTTCTGTAAGTGGCAGCAATGGATTACAAAAGACACATCCAAGGAAAACCCAAAATATGACGGGGCGGTGCTGTTAACTAGGTATGTGTCCAACAACACCAAATTTTAAGAAACGGTTCCAAATATTAACGATGTGAAAATTTTGGAGTAATGACCCACACACCCCTCCAAAGTAGAGAAAATTGTACTCAATATGCATTTCTGACAAAAAAATTACTCACTGATTTTGATTGGTTTCTACTTATGATCTATCGGAGGATAGACGCCACTATTAACATTTTTTCTCTCCTTTGTTATATTACACAAATAAATTCCGTGTTGCCGTGGGTCTGTTAGTAATAGATCACGGAAGACTCAAGATATATTGAGAACATTAGTGACACACTCAGCTGCGCCTCATGTACCACGTTTTTGTTCTTACCACATTTTGACGTCATCTGTGATCTATCACTGAGCAGAAGTAAAGTAACATGGAATTTATCTGTTAAATCGATCACCCACCCACCCCACCCACTCGTCCTCTCAATGCCCCGAAAGCCGACCCAAACGCATTAATGACGACTGTCTGACATTCTTCTCCATTTTAATTCACAGGAAAGATATTTGCGCTAAACGTTTTTCCGCTTGTGACACCGTGGGTAGGTTAAAACTTTGTGTTTTTCTACCTCAGCGAACGGTTTGTTGCAGAAGCTTTTCTTTTGTTTACCACAGGTATGGCGTTTCTGCATGGAATGTGCGACCCAAAAAAACGGTGCAGTGTCTCACAAGACAATGGGCTAAATGTTGCGTTTACAGTTGCACATGAAATCGGACACAAGTAATTCACGTATTGCTTTACTAATTATCACAGTTACTCTATCAGTCGGTCAGTCAGTCAGTCAGTCGGTTAACCAGTCAGCTTGTCAGTCAGTCAATTGGTCGGTCGGTCAGTCTGTTAGTCAGTCAGTCGGTCGGTCAGTCCGTTGTTCAGTCAGTCATTCGGTTGATGACTCAGTCACTTCGTCAGTCAGTCACTTATTCAGTCAAACATTTTGTCAGTCTATCAATCAGTCATAGAGGGGGTAAGTTTCTGTGAAACACAGAAACTGTGATGCTACGTCGGTGGGAGAGTATAATAGGGTGAATGATTCGAATGATTCGCTCTGACGAAGTGCTAGCGCTCGAAAATTCAGCTTTGAAACTCTTTACGGTAGCCAATTTACGTTATTAACTCAGTTATCAATCAATTAGTCAATCGGTCAACCAATCAGTCATTTGGTCTGCAAAGCATAATTTATTCTACCCTCTCGTGCTCATCATCTTGTTTTGGGTCTCAAAATAGTCTAGGTGCATATCATGATGGAGACGGAAACACGTGCCCAGACTCCGCAGGATTAACACCTCACCTTATGTCATCGCGGTGGCTGGCAAGGAATCGACGTGGAACAATGAAGTGGTCATGGTGCAGTAAAGCTTACATCAAGTCCTTTCTCAAGTAAGAACCCGAGCGCTGAAGAACTTACATCTATAGCTATTATTTATTTTCTCCAAAGACAACACTTTTTAGAAGGCTGAACAAGGACCGGAAGTGTGAATGGAAAATGAAACAACGTAAAAAGTTTTGAAAGACAAACTATCCAGGAGCGGCATTTTTGTACAGAATATTGTATCATTACTTTTTCACTGGACATCGCTTTTTCGCCAATGCTAAATTGAGCCTGATTTCCTTTCTCCATTAGTTCTCAAGCCAGCAAGTGTTTGAGAAATCACGCCAAGAAGAAACCATTGCAGTTGCCTACAGAAGTGCCAGGAGTTGCATTCACTGTAGACGAGCAGTGCAAGCAGCAATATGGAAACAGAGCCCGACACTGTCAAAAATACAAGGTATTTTAAGTCTCACCAGCCTAATGGTCACTTGTCCCGTTTTTATTAAAATGAAGCACTAGGAAATTTAGCTACCCTCCAACCCTCTCCAGAATGGGATACCAAGGTTATCTCCCGTCTTGTCTTTACGCTCACTGAAAGTTTGCGATACCCATTTTAGATGGAAAGAGGCACTGTTTAAGTAAAGTTATTTGTTAGAGGAGATAACAAGAATCTTTCGATCCAGTGTCCACTTTGTTAGATACCTGCTGACTCAGCTGCCTGTAAAAGAGTTTTATTTTCATGAAGCCACTTACTATAACTGGCGAAATACTTGTCTAACTCTATGGACCTGAAAGCATTTTGGCTGAGGAAGACAAGGGCATGACACATTTGGTAATACAAGTTAAAAAAAGATAAGGACGGAGAAAAAACATTTAACTTCTTGACTTAGCTTCCAGAAAGGCGAGAGATTCTTAAAACGTTTGGCCTTATTATTATTATTATTATTATTGTTATTATTATCATAGGCAGTAGTAGTAGTAATCGTAATAGTGGTAATAGTAGTATTTTGCTTTAATTTTCTTTTTTCTTATTTTCCTTAATTTAATGTTTCCCTTTCTTCAATGTCTGGGAGATCGCTGCAAGAACGAGGGGAACTGGGGACGAAATTTATGACAGCGAACGAAATCCAAGCTGGGTAGATTCGTTGGCTTAAAACCTGAACAATGAAAGAAGAGTCTCATTTCATATTTATTGAGGTTTTCTGTCAGTGATTAATCAGCCCTGTCAGTCAGGCAGACAGGCAGGTGTATTGGATCAATTCAACATAACTGATAAAAGATGTAAAAATTATATTCATTTCTTTTGTTCGTTGAGCCAAACGGGCATCACCGAAGAAAGCTAAACAGCAGTTAATTATTTCTTTTTGGAATTTGCGCGGCGCTGAGAATTTACGGTTGTTACTATTTGAATTGATACATTTTGAAAAGGAAAGAAGATCGAAGGCTAAAAACATTCAGTTCTTTATTGTTTTATTGTGCAGTCAAGTCAATATAAGGGTTACGTAGATATGCTTCACTAAGTTACTGTTTTAAACATGCAGACGGACCAAACAATTAGCGTAAATGATCAAAGCAAAAAAAAAAAAAAAAAAATTTAAAACTCACGACAGTGCTTTTTATTTACGAATTACTTAAGAAAAACGTCTGGAAATATAATAAAATATTAGTTAAACCTAAAAAACAGCTAAGAACTCTAACATCGCTTGCTTTTTGAGAACTATCGGTTTTCGTGTGCTTGTTGTTAACGAATGAATCAGGCAGTGAGCTTAATATGGAGAGTTAATAGAGATGCACTTAGCTGTAGCCTTAAGTAAATATATATTCGTTCTAAAGAGCTAAGTTGGTTTTGTATGTCCTCAAGATAACATTTGATTGAGGATGGTTTTTATATCAATATTTAAACAGCTGACGTTTAAGACAATTTTAAAAAAATTGCTAAAAGCGAAAACAATACAAAAAACCGAAGAAAAGGAGAAGAAAAAGGGGAGAGATGAGTTTCGAACTTGGATTTAAATGCCTTTAAAAAAACACGGCAAAATCGAAAGACTTCTTTTTCATGATTTCACTGCAATGGTCAGAAATCCTCTTCTTTCTTTAGAGTTTGTTTTTATCTAAAGAGCACCTGCCGTGATCAAAACTACCTTTCATCGTTGCCATTCATGTAGGTGATGTTTTTCATTAAAACTGTTTAAAAAAAAAACGACTTTGGCAAAGTTGGCATTATTTATCTATGGTGAAATTTTTGTGTTGTCTTGCATTTCTCTGGGGAAACAGTTTGCAGGAGAAAATTCATTTGAATCTCTGTTATTTTTGTGTTTCCTTGCCTTTCTTTGGGGAAACAGTTTACTGGAGAAAATTCGTTTGAATCCCTGTCGATAGTTCGAGCTTTGAAACGCGTAAATGAGAGGATTCCAAAATGAATTGGCGATTAGAAGAAAGCGAACGGTTCTATGAATTAAAAACAGGCGAGGGCGGTCACTTGCAGCGGTCTCTTCGTCGATAGTGGTTAAATATATAAAGAATAAAGAAAATGGCAAAGTGCAAACGCAAAATAGGAGCATAACCCACAAAAGAAGCATAAAGAGCTGTCTTTTTGAGCGATGTTCTGTCGACACTTGATTGCCTGAACCTTGCAAAGCTGCCGCACATATTGTATGAGTGATGAAAAATCCACGGAAAAGTTCGAAGTAGCAGAAAATTACTAGAACGGTTGGAACAATTCCAAAGACAATACTAGTAAACGTTATAAAGCCTTCGTGATGAGAATATTCGTCAACTCTCCAAGGTCGTTTGCACAGATAGCCTGAGTGAGGATTTGAGTCCACAGTATTTGATAACAAGTCAGGAACGCAGGACGAAACGGACAATGTCCACAATAAAGCAACTACGTAAGGAAGTTGTTTTTTAGTCAGTCTTAAACCAGTTTCAAAGGGTCTGACAAGCGCCAAGTATCTCTCCACGGCTATTGTGCTAACTGTCAAGGCAGCGGCGTTCATCGTGATCGGAATAAATGCATTTCCCGCGAAGACTTTGCAGACAAAATCTCCAATTGTTTTGTCGAAATGCACTTTGGTGAGAAGGTACTCGTAGCTACCCGGGCATAGTATCAGCGTCAGTAGATCGGCGATTGCCAAATTTAGCAGGAGATAGTTTGTTGTGGTGTGCATTGAAGGCGTCTTTCGAACAATAGTGATTATCACACAGTTAGCGGGAATGCCAATGACAATGATCAAGGAGTACACGACTGCGAAAGCTACATCGTGATCAGGCAAAGAAATTGAACTGTTGTCAAAAAGTACCGTGCTGTTAAATGCCATGGAATAGTTTAAAAAGAAACGATTCAGAAAAAACCTTACCACAAATTCGTTAGTTTCGTGTTTTGCTTGCTGAGTTGTAATATTGCTTTGAAGTATACACTACGTCGGTATTAATATTTCATCACTGTGGCAATTATGCACGAACATCCAAAGAAAATTCAGGCTATGCAGGGAAGTTGTAAGGACTATGTTCCTGGTTTAGGTCCTTTACCAAGAAGACTTTTAGATCAGTATGGCACACTTCTGTTCCCTGTCAAGACACGACAGTATTCTGCAAAGTCGTAAATAGATTAGCATATAAAGGCAGCACTCCATTTAATCAAAAATGATTTCCTATTCTGCTCTCTTCCCCTTGTTGAGTGACTCATGTACGTTATTAACGTTTTAATTGACATCTTTTTCTTTGCTAGTGGTAGGTTTGAAAAATGATTAGTATGCCTCTTGACTTTTACTTCTCATTTCCGCTTAACTTCTGAAGTTGATGCTTTCTTTTTGTTGTGACGTATTCATCGATTTTTCCTATTTCGCTAAAGAGTAACTACCATGACAGATGTTGAAAATTATTGCCAAAAAAGTATTTTTACATTGCATGCTTACAACGAGGTATCTCAATTTTTTGCCTTTAATTTTGTGAAGCGAAAAGTCTTCGTCTTAGCTGCACACAGTGATGGAAATCCACTGAATATTCAGCCTCAAGGACTTGCAGCTGATGCATGGCAAAAGCTATTAATACTGATTTGAAAATGATGAGGATCGTATTGAGAGAGTCGTTTGACAGTTTTGTCATGCACATGCTGCTATTCACTGCCTCCTTCCCTCTTTGGTTCTTGAATTGGTTTCCCTCCTTCATTAAGTTGCTTTGTTCTTCCATCTGTTCTCTTGTACTCCCACTCACGTTCACCTGAATGTCTAAGAATGGTTGAGAACAAAATTGACAAAGGTAGCTCAGTCAAATTGAGTTTGCCTTTTTTCTGCCAAGATGGCCTGTTGTCATCTTCATTACGCAGGCTTTTTAATAAAGAGTTGACTGTTTAGGCGAATGATTAAACAGGCCTCACAGGTCCCCATTCAAACCAACTTGAAGCTGAACTGGGCCATATATTGCTGATAAATAAAAAATTAAATAAACTAGAAAACATAAATATATAGAATATACTGCTGCAAACATTTCTCATGTAAAAAAGGCGGGGAACAAAATTATAACTCTATGTTACCCCTCGGTTTCTTTCTCGATCCAGATAAATAAATTTAGTTAGGTAAATTTTAATTGACTGACGTGCTGTGAAAATTGTCGCATTCGGGCAAGCAAACATTTGGCTGTTACTTAGATTGTTGCACCAAACTATCCACCTTTTCGAGAGTGATATCGCATGATGACATTTTAGATAACCGCTGTGGGCTAGTTATTTCAACTAAAGAGAGGGCAGATATCATTTTTAAACTGTTTTATGATGATAGTTATCATTTCCTTTTGGGTAGTTTCGTGTTTGCCAACAACTTTGGTGCGAGATCGAAGGAGAAAACTTGTGTAGAAGTAAACTGAATCCTCCAGCGACAGGAACAGCTTGTGCACCTGGTAAGGTGGGTTAATAACTCATCACTTTTTGGTCGTTTTAAAAACTTCATCATACAATAGATGGTTTAATCCCGGCGGTAACAGATAGTAGTAAAGCACCACCACCAACTGAGCCAAATGCTACTCGTTAGGAACTCGCCTCCCCACATGATAGCGCTTGGTGTTTAATTTCCTCCGGATTCGTCGCAAAAGGTGGGCTTACTGCATTGAATGAGGAGGCGATTTGTTAGTACTCTGGTGTCGAAAAGTTTTCGTTTAAACCAAAAGATACCATAAACTGCCTTTCTTTTCATGGGCCTTTAGAAGACACGAACCTATTTCTTGTTTCAAAAGCGCGCAACTCTCATATCTATTAAACCACACAAAATATTCAACGGCTTCTTGTGCAAGCTGTTCATTTCCACGCGACGTGTTACTAATAACTTTTATGGTTTTATTGTCGTAGTGGTGTATGTACGGCGAATGTGTCGATAACAAAGCTATACCTTTGAAGAGAGACGGTGGGTGGGGTTCCTGGACGGAATGGACCAAATGTTCCCGAACCTGTGGCATGGGCGTAAGTTCTCAAAAAAGAGCTTGTGACTCACCAAGGTAGGTATCATGTATGGAAAATTGTTTTCCAATTCTGAAAACCGATATTTAGTATTTTGGTGTGGAAGAACGGGACACCAATTGTCGGTTAAATGGAGGGTTGCTTCTTCAGGTGACAAAACTGTAAGATTTGGGTCGGGATGATGTTCATCGTCAAACTGGAAATAATTGTAAATGGCATAATAAAATTATCCGTGGACTGAAAGGTGCAGATTTATGTGACAAGTTCTACTGCAAAAACGATTTAAACAAGCTCCAAAGTTTTAAACAAAACTTTTTGACCTCAAGGATATGTTAAGCATGCTATCCTTTAAAGAATTCACTCTGACGAAGGGTTAGAATCTTCGAACGCTGGGAAATTCACAATATTAACCTAGTTGATAAAACCAAAATTTTCTATCAGTTAACGCCCTCAGAAGGAAGTGTGTCACCATTTGAATTTTGCTAATTAGTTAGTATTAATTTTGTTTACGATTTCTTTTCTAGTCCTTTAAACGGTGGTCGGTATTGTGAGGGGGAGTCAAGGAAGTTTCGAACATGTAACTTAGAGGTACTTTTGACATCCAATAAGTTTAACGTAGTTTAAGGATTAAGCACCAATTCTTTGATTGAGCAATAGTTAAACTGGATCGATATATACATTTTCCCGTGATTTTAATGAAACGTATGACAATTTGCTTAATTATTTCTGATCACTCATTATCTTAGAAACTCCGTTGAGTTTTGCTTGATGTTCCTGCCACTCAACAACTAGTCCAGAAAAAAAAAAAGAAAAAAAAAAGGAAAAGAAATGAAAAATTATTGTTTGATATTTGTAGCCTTCGAAGGAAAACATTCAAACGCTTTTTAAAGATATTTTCATGTTGCTGAAGTATTTTTCAATGTCGGGGAAAAGATCAAATGTTTTCTTATGTTATAGACAATTTCTTGTAAACAGTATTTGAAATAACAAACGAACATTAGGTTTGTTTGATCCAAAAAGGAATACTCTATAGAAAATAAGGGGAATTACGCCCCAAGCCTCTTTAAGTGGCTTCTTCTGCAGCTTTCCACGAGCATTTGCAAAATGATGAATCATTATTAATGTTTCATGTAAGAAGATAAACAAGGGCTTGTCAGAATTAAGCCTGACTTATTCGTGAGAACGATGAGAAGGCCAAGAAATATTTCAAAATCCCTTCTATTATGGACTCAGAGTTTCCTCGAAGATTTTGCACTCAAATTCAGATTTTAAAAAGGTGTGTTCTTGCGACAGATTGAACCCCAAAAGAAGCTTTATCTAATTATATACCCGAAGTGCGGTTGCCCAAATATATTACTTTTTATTTTTCAGCTCTGTCCTCCGACATCTAAGGATTTCAGAACCTTGCAATGTGAGTCGTTTAACGGCATTAAATATAGAGGGGAGAAACATGAATGGGTTCCTGTGATAAGTGATGGTAAGTGCCTCTGTAGCCGCAACGGAGCAGATCGTATGTTAAAGAACACATTAGCTTTGTTTCTTAATTATCCTATGCAATTGTTGAAAAAAACTGCAGTTTAGTCTCTCATATGTACCAAATACTTATGGGAATAAATAGAGTAATACTTGTATTATTCTGAACCATTACTTTTTTACTCATCCATCGTTTATTGACTTGTTTTGCGAGAGAGAAACTTCACGTGAACGCTACACTCGAATCACTTTCATATAGAATAATCACTGCTTTTTAAAATAGGTTACCGTAAGCGTACCATAGCATGCATACAGTTCATACACTTTGGTCATCAACATCATTATTCATGTCACTTCATTATCCTGTTCATGATCTTTATTTTTCCCTCCATAGGTCAGCCGTGTTCGTTATTCTGCAAACCAAAGGATCCGCAGTATCGTTTTTCAGCCAAACTTGCTTCTAAAGTCATAGATGGTACCTCATGTAGTTCTGGGTCAATTGACATTTGTATCGACGGCAGATGCCAGGTATCGTTATTTGACCTTTGCCATGTGGAATATCTTGAGTCAAAAATATTGAGAAGGCGTAGGAGAAAGGTGGTGATGGTTGCTTGCGCCTTTATAAAGCTATCATCGATAGCACTCTTCAATAGAATACGAAGTATCGCACTTGTTTTTCCAAGGAACTTTCCCTCTTTCATTTTTATGTCCCTGAACTGTTGACGAGCGGGGACCCTTATTACCTATTTTGCTGAAGGAAAGTCTCTCACTTTCCCGAGAAATCCATTTCTCTAACAACTGACCAAGAATCCTTTGTGCACTTTGTCCAATATCCCTTAGTTTTGCCACCTGTTATTAATAGTTGTGTCATCTTCCTTATCCAGGATGTTGGCTGTGACTTCAAGATAGGTTCAGGAGCACAGGAAGACATATGCGGTGTCTGTAAAGGAAACGGAACAACATGTAGAACAGTAGAGGGCAGGTTTAACCAGCTGGCAGGATCAGGTAACCCCGCAGAAAAAAAAAAAAAAAAAAACCTACGAGGAACTTAACTTTCGAGTTTTAAGCCATGGCTGCTCTTTGCATGTAATGGGCTCCCGGTGAGGGTAGAGTGATCAAAGTTTGAACCTTTGCTCCCTTCCTTCTCTAAACGCGGCGGAGGAGATGCATTTTCAACCCCATGAAGTACCAGTTTTTTGGTGGTCATGGGGGAGGGGGGAGGGAAGAGGGGGGAAGGCTCCTAATCTCGTACCCAGATCCTACCGTGTAATTGGCCTTGGAAGATCTGAGTTCGAGACTAGGAGGCTCCCACGCTAGAATAGAGTTACTGCTCCATCCATTGGCGTAACAGAAACGCTTGAAGTTTCTTTCAGCAAATTTTTACCATTTTGTTTGCGTAAACCACCATGGTGATTATGAAAGGCAGATGCAAATATTTTAAATATTATTAAATAAATTTTTGAACTTCGTAGTAGACCTCGCTTACCGTGAAGTCTCTGAGGCTCAGTGGTAGAGCATAGGAGCGCGGAATCCGAAGGTCTGTGGCTCAGTGGTAGAGCATAGGAGCGCGGAAGGTCTTTATCCCTCACTCGTGACTAGACGAACAGCATCTTTCTTCATTTTTAAAATTATTTCAACATAACCTCCATTATGACTTTGTTGCTGTTCTTATCTTAAAGCCAAGTAATCTATTTGAGTTCAAAATATTAACCCACCGATGATTACACTTCTTCGTTAGATCACACCTAATTTTATTTCTTCAGGCTATGTGGAAGCTGCTGTTATCCCTGAAGGAGCGAGAAGTATATCCATCAGCGAATCAAAACCATGTACAAGTTTTTTAGGTGAGTTTGAATTGTGGACCTATCGAGATGTCCATGTAACAAAAGATAAACCCTATCATGGTGAAGAACCATGCTATTGACAAAAAAATGACAAATGAAGAGTTATTACATGAATGCAGTCCCCAGGAAGATCTTTTTTACATTAAGGTGACTTCTTTTTTAATACACATGCTGTAGCTCTGAGGGCAGACGCCGGAACTTATTACATTAACGGTAACTGGAGAATTCAACTTCCTGGTGACGTAAATGCAGATGGAACGATCTTTCGGTATATGCGCACAGGAACTTTGGAAAAAATCGTGGCTCGTGGGCCCACAAATGCTCCTTTACACATTATGGTGAGAAGCAAGTATGCTGTATTGATGCCACTGGGGGAGGCGAAAAAAAAAGCTGTTTATTTTAGCCAATTTAAGTATCAAAGATGTGATAAGTATTGAAGACTGTATTTTCCATAATGAAAATGCTCCAAAGAGAATCCTGGAAAAATTATCAGTAACAAAATTATTTATAATCCAGCAAGTCTTTTGATTCGCAGGCGATTAGTTTAAACGCTTCTCGCGACTCACTATGCCTCAGCTAAGCTGAGAAATTTAAAAACGTTTTCGCTCCAAGTGCTATTTAGATATCTTTAGAGTGATGAACACCATATAGCTAAACTAAGAAATTCAGTCAATTTTTCACTCAAATCGCTGCGTAAATATTTGAAAGATGACGAACACAAGTTCCGTCAACGGTTTTCAAACAGCTTTTCCCCAGGATGAATTCAGTTTTGCAGCTTTCAACAACTAACCTGCGCCGACAAACATCTTAGCACATTTTCGCGCCAAATGAAGGCTTTTGGCACTTTGATGATTTGATAAGTCGCAAAGAGACGTTGCGCACATGTGCGACACAGATTCAGTGGTAATTTTTAGATACTTCTTCTAATCTCCAAAAACAATTGTGACCTAAATATAACTTAGGAGGGGTTTATTTTGAATTATTTCATTCTGAAAATTTGCTAACTGTTTCCTTCATAAGGAACAGCAAACAATTCGAAAAAGCCAAATATGTCGGTGTTTTTCAGGTTTTGTATTATGGATTTAACCTTGGAGTGGAATATCGATATGCAGTGCCCCTCCACGATAGCAAAATGGACAAGGAAGATGCAAAGAAACACCGATTACTGTTCGACGCCTCATACGGATGGGTGCACGGAGGCTGGGGAAAGTGTAATGTGCATTGTGGAGGAGGTAAAGTCGAAAAAGGATGTTTTTATCATTTTGGTTCTATCACTTGCAGTAACCAGTAATTGAAAATACTTAGTCGAACATTTATCTCTCTTTGAAAATCGTTTTAGCCTTAGTACCAAGACTCAAAACAGTTAACTCTGAGCACAAAATCAAAAGCAGCATATACTATGGTTCAATGAAACTGACATTATTCGTAGAAGTCTACAGCAAAGTAACAATCTCTTTGGGGATGTTACGCCTTAATAATCGCATCCTCCAATACACCAAAAATTTGTTTGAAATTGTTACTATGAGGCAAAGGCATATTAATAATTGATAATTTATGAAACTTACGATAGTGTTGAACAAGGGCAACTTTGTTACTTGATTTTGTCCGTCATTTTTAACTCGTGAATTGCGCGAATGCGCAAGAGCGAGTTGTAGATATGATGCGAAGAATGGCACTCGCTCGCTCGCTCGATTGGTCGATTCCTGTAAACTTTTTTTCGATTTTAGGCTTTTGAGTGTATTTGAGAGTTTTTGGCGAATAAGAAACAAACGAAATGGCGACCTTTGTTGCTAAGAATAGTGGTGGGGTGAAAAAGAAGCCAATGATAATCTTAAAAGAGTTTCTTGTTTTTCGTTTTAGTTTCAACAAGCGGCGCCAGCGACTGGCAGGCGTGCGAGGATTCACACTGAAATAAGAACAACCTTCGTTTTTCATAGAATTGTAATTTAAAATCCTTGAACTTGAAAATAATCGGAAGATTCATTAAAAATATCACTTACTCCGAAGCGCTTGGAGTTTACAGCTTTAAAAGCTTTCTCTGTTATGGCGTGAGACTGGGGACAAAATCGATCGTTACATTTCGTATCGTGTGTTTTTTCTGTGTGAAGCAACAAAAGGTGCCGGCGAAAGACGAAATTACAGTTTAACACGAAAATCGAATAAAACCTACACAAATAATTTTGGCTACTGATTTTCAGTGAATTTTTAAAGAAAAATTTTCTTTTAAGTTTCAAGACAATTTGAAGATTCAAAATAAATATTGCATACTAAAATGCGAAAGTTATACACCACAAAATTGATGAACAGGCCTAAAATGAAATTCTATCTTGTTCTTGATTGTACGTTGCCTAGCACGTGACCAAAATCTACCCAGGCGGAAATTTAAAATGACGGTGGCAGTCTGGGCTTAGTTATATCACTCAAAACTCGTTCCCGTTTGTCTCATTTGATGAAGAGGGAATCATTAATGATTTCATTAAGACAGGATTCCCTTGATTTTCCAATATTTACAATGACAGACAGTAAATTTCACATTTCACCCACATTTACTTCCAACTTTTTCTTTTGACCCAGAAACAAAAACGACATATGTTTTCAACACATGACGTCATCCACCCTTGTCAAATGCAATAGCATGATCATTTCAACTGTAATGCCTTCTTATCCCAACGTTACTTTGTTTCTATGCCACATTAGCGAACACTGAACTACTGCTCGTACTCTAAATATGACAATCAACCACAAATTTCCCTAAACCAGATAACATTAAACATAATCCAAAAAAATCATGTGAGTCTTCTGTCAATTCACGAGTTTGCACACAGAGCACTTTGATTCTTATCTTTGTGAAACATTTCTTTGCGCCAATAGACTTGTGTAATTATTCTGATTAGTCTGCGGATGGAGTACATTCTATAGCTACAATTATAACTAATTTTGCTATACACTGTACGGGGTTTGCTGTCGTTTAAAAGTTTAAGGTTGACTTTCAGATCTTCGTAAATTTTGTCAAAGCTGTAATTTTTTTTCCTTTTGTTTCAGGGATTAGAAAAAGTTTGCGGGTAAAATGCATTCGCTTTTACCGTGGAAATATATCCTCAGTCGACGACGTCTTCTGCAAAGGGGCAACGAAACCACGGCAAGAGGAACGAGTCTGCAATGTCCACCAGTGTCCAATATGGTGAGTGAGATGGCTGTGTTGTATTATCACATCACACAACATACTGCTAAATACAGAAAATAAAAATGAAATAGTCATTGATTTCCTCCTTTCTAATTGAAGTCGTTCTTCATTATTAAGTTCTTCTGGAGGAAAAAACAAAGAAAAAATAATTCTTCCTTTGTCTCCCACATTTTACACAGAGTTGTCGCTTACTTGAAGAGACTAAAAGAAGTGGGTTGTTTCCATCGCACGAAAAAAAAAATTAGTGAAATAGAAAGTCAAACCGATCATTATGGAAAATTTGTCTTGCTTTCTAATTTGTTTTACGTTTGATAGGACGGTAGACCGTTGGTTCATTTTTCAATATCGAGTTGACCTTGTAAATGTGTTATACCACTTGGGTATATCCATTGAAAACCTTCTATAGCAGAATATAAGCATTTCTTAAAACGACGAGAAGTGCCGAAGAAAGGGTAGCTTGTGACTTTCCCTGCGCGGATCATTTGTGTTCTTGTTATTTTCGAAGATTTCTGTAAATATTCTGAGCATCCCCGACACTTGCGATGTTGACCTTTGTTATCCACTTACTCGCCAATCTAAAATTGAAATTGGAATTTTTCAAAATTAATTGAAGATGCTTTAAATTAGTTCCTGTCAAAATTTCACACAGTGATGAAAAGGAACTTGAGCTGTCATTTTGTAGAAGACAGAAATTAATGAAAGTGCCGTGGACTAAATTTAGGTGTTTTTGTTTGCTTAAAAGTTCAACCTATATCCCTCCAGGCAATTAAATGAAGCTCAAATCGCTTCAGTAAGAATTATTTCAAAAAGTAATCAAGTTCGTGAAAATTCCCTGTGGATGGCAATTGGTGATTCACTAAGGGTTTTGAATGAATTGATTTAAAATCGGACCATCCGTTGGTCTGTTAAAAACTTTTTTCTTCTCGCAGTCTTCATGCAAGTCAAATAAGCCTGAGAACTCTCATTTCTTCTTTCGAGTATGTATACTTGACTCATATTCAAGCATTGAGGAAGATTGTGATTCAGGCTCATTATGCTCCTGGCGCAGCTTCTTACTGCGAATGTTACGAGCCAAACTTATGCTATTTGCAACGAGATAGATATATCAAACCGAAAAAAAAAACATCTCATTGCATGGATTTTTTTTTTAAAAAGTTATTGAAAAAGATGTCACTTCTCGTGGCGAACGTGGGACAAAACGAATAGTCCATCGAAGCCTGAAAATCCGAAGAACTGTGCTTCGGTTCGTCATGTTGACTGAGACTTTTTTTCGTTGTTCCTTACTCTTGACGTTACGAATATTATCTTTCTTTTTCCTTCAGTCATCTCAAATTTATTTCATTTTCTGGGTCTTATTGAGCAGAAGCACAATTAAGATCGATAACGGAAATGAAGTAGGGTTAGCTGTCGGGGTATTTCCTCTTTGTGGGAGGTTCCCTCCCTAGGTAAATAATTTTTAAAGGTTTTCTGTATTGTGGTAGGGAAACATAAGGCTGCCGCGCAAACATCATAATGAACTTTTTAGAAGAACTTAATAGAACAACGCAAACGCTGGTTGATTAGAAGATTTTCTTCTTGATTGCCTTATTAATTATTTAGCATGGCGGTTATAAAATCTTTTTTTCTAATCTGTCTTCCGTTCAAGTGTGTTCATTCACCGGCTACCGAGGACAAAAAGTTGACTCAATTTTCGGTATTGCCATAGTTATTCCAAACTCATCATCGTATTGGCTTTTACAATTTTCGCAGATCGAAGATATCGCCAGAAAATTTGCAAAATAATTAAGATATAGAATAACAACGAAGACTTCCCTGCTCACTTACTTTTTGATCAGTTTAATGCAGTTCAGAAGGATTTGCCAAGGATAGAAGTATGGAAAAAATTAATGCCGTAACTTAAAACAAAAGTGTCAAAGTCGTTAACATTTACATCCGAAAACAGAAAAGCAGAAGCAGCAGAAAGAGGGCAAAATGCATTTGAACACGGTCCCGACAATGGCCGAAATGACTCGTGCGCCATATGTAAATGTAACTTTTGAACAAGAAAACTCAACTCTCTCTTCGTTTACGAAAGGAGAGTTGGAAAGTGGTGCAATCATTCTCCTCATTCATTCACGGAAGGTATCGGTAATCTCTTTTTCCACAATTCTATCTATGGCGGTGCTCTTAATTTTGTTGGGAATCTGTGTGAATGGGGTCATTTGCCTCATAATGTTTCGCGGCAGCCGCTACAAGAGGAACACTTCCAACTTCTTCATCCTGCATTTATCAGTCACAGAATTGATTTTTCGCCTTCTTGTCTTCCCCCTGGTTATTTATTTTCTCGTTCCAGCAACCATTGTTGAAAACATTCATTGTAAAGCACTGACCTTCGTTTCAACCGTCTTCACTTCTGCTACGTTTATAAGTCTAGTCGCCATTGCAAGGGACAGACACGAAAACATCGTTCATGCTATGAAAGCCTGGACGAAGAAATGCAAGAGGACAGGATATTGTTACCTCGTTCTTCCAGTCTGGTTATACGCCTCACTCATATCAATACCGCTCGTGTTCAGTGTCAGAAGTCTCTACATCAGCAAGACTCCAGAAGCCCAGAGTTTTGATTGCCAGGATTGCTCTGAGAAAAAGATTTGTGATATTCCTAAAAATGCAGTGGGTCGCCTGTCCACAACAGTGTACCTAACTTTTTCTTTTTTTGTACCACTTATCGTTATTATTTCGTTGTACACAAAAATTTCGATCTTCTTATACAAAAGAAGTAGGGATAAAGTCATACACAAAGTTGCTGCTCGATCAAGGTTGAAAGCTGTGCGCATGCTCACTATTATCGTATTGGGGTACATACTTTCTCTAGGTCCCTCGGCTCTGTTTAAGGTGCTAAGATCTTATGGCTTTGTTAACAATATGTCTTTTTCTGACATATTAACTGTCACTTGGGTTCTAGAGTTTGAGACGTTGTTAAGTTCACTTTGGAACCCGATCATTTATGTGTATTACAATACTGACTTTAAAAAAGAGATACTGGAGTTGTTCTGTGGAAGTAGCGCTTTTAAAACCAAGAGACTGGTCATTCCTGCAAAGTACCATGAAGATCGTTTTTAGAAAAAAATTACCATCTATTTTCAAATCCGCTCGCCTTATATTTAATTCACACGGGCGCAACTAATTCATTCACCTGCTGTCAGAACGGAAATTGTACATACATTCTTTTATTACCACGGATGTCTTGTTTTAATGGATTTTCTAGACGATTATATATTGCATAAACATTAATTTTAATTGTAAAATTTATATTACCTGTAAACATTAATTTTATGCCACCGTAGTTTAACATCAATTTAATGTAATTGTACTCTGGGCTGCTACTGATAGCAGGACGACCCTGAGCCTTAAAATTAAATATTGATGTCTCTCTGTCTGATATACACTGTCAAATTGAAATAAAGAGATGTTCTCGTGATAGTATGCTTAAGTGAGAGTACAAAGCTATTGAAAGGCCGCAAAGATGAGACATACGAGCGCGCACTACTTTCTTAATGCATGCCAAAGTTCCGAAATGTTTACTTAACTAAGAGTCTTCGTTGGTTAAACGTTTCGAATGGAATCAAGATTAATGTTCTCATGATGGTATGCTTAAGTGAGAGTACAAAGCTATTGAAAGGCCGCAAAGATGGAACATACGAGCGCGCACTACTTTCTTAATGTATGACAAAGTTCCGAAATTCTTACTTAACTAAAAGCCTTCCTTGGTTGAACGCTTCGAATGGAATCAAGATTCATTAAACACCACATTCACTGATACGAAAGTGGCGCACAGGCGGGAATTATTGCAGGGAAAAAGAGAGAAAAAACAAAAAAAGGTACAACTCGACATCGTTCAACATCTTCAGTTGTGGTGCATTTTTCAAGCCAGACAATTTCAATTCAGACTTCAAACGTGTATTATCATTTTTTTTCCACATCATATTTTCAAATGAATACTCAAAATGTTGTCACTGCTTATGAAGTTTTAGCCGCCTTTGAATTAACGTCACCATTGAAATAACAGCTCCTTAAACTCGACTTCTTAAGTACACGTAGTTCTAGTATACTTAAATGAGTACAAAGCTATTGAAAGGCCGCAAAGATAGAACATACGAGCGCGCACTACTTTCTTTATGCATGCCTAAGTTCCGAAATTTTAACTTAACTGAAAGCCTTCCTTGGTTAAACACTTCGAATGGAAATAACAGGCCAAAATAGAAAATAAGTGAATTCGTTAAACACCGCTGCTTGTACATGCACATGTACATGTATGAACTGCCCTTGAATTACGAAAGAAAAATGAAAGTATAACTTAAAAATAGTTGTCATAAACATACAAAGCAACCAATATGTTGTGATAAACGTAAATAATCACAAAAAGGTATTAAGCCTAATGTTATTATAAAGTTTTATCGTCTACTCAGAGACCAATTAGCATATTTCCATTAAAATTTTCAGACATCTATTAGTTGCAGTTGATTTATTCGCTAACGAACTTTCATCCTATTAAAAAATAGCGCTAATAGTTGGCGTACAACACTAACAATACGTACAACAAAACATTGCGAAACTATCCACAATTGGAAACAATTTCCAAACCATGTCTTAGATAGCGTGATTTCTATTTCAAATTTTCACCTTGGTAAGTACATACTGTGTTCAAAGTTGGCGTACGACATAAACTACATCGTTGAGCGGAATGTTGAACTGCTGTTTATGCAGCAATAGCTAGAGGGTAAAGTTGCTAAAAAGCTGTAAATTTGGGAGGTCCTTTTGGAAAATATCCAGTACCTGGAAGCAGTTTTTATAATAAGTTTCAGCTGGCTTGATTCTAGAACAGAACTCTTGCAAAATGGCCGAGGGAGATACAGAAGGCCAAACCAATTCTGGATCAACATTTTTGTTAATCCGCTCGTACGACGAAGCGCGAAACCTCTTCGCTCTTTTTCTGACTATCAATTTATTCCTCATTCTGTTTGCATTAATTGTCAACGCGTCCATATGCTATATTATGATTCGTGGGAAACGGTACAAACGAAACAGGTCCAATCTATTTATCACCCATTTGTCCGTGATGGAACTGATATATCGCTTCCTTGTATTTCCCTTGCTTGTCTACCTTGCTGTTCCATCATCAGGAATACAGAGTTTCCATTGTAAAGTTGGATCTTTCTTTTCAAGTACCTCTGCATCAGCCATCTTCGTTAGTCTGGTTGCCATCGCTGCAGATAGATACCACAACATTCTTCATCCCTTGGAGAACTTGAAATCAAAACGGAAGCCCACTTTGCTCCTATCTTCGGTTTGGGTGTATTCTGCTGTTGTGTCAATCCCAGTTGTCGTCAGTGCGAGAGCTGTTCCAGTTTTAGAGATCCCCGAAGCTCGAGAAATGACTTGCGACAATTGTGCTCATAAGAAGCTTTGTGATATCCCTCAAAACTCGCTGGGTCGATCCTCCACCACATTTTATTTTCTTCTTGCATTTTTTATTCCACTGGCCGTCATCTTTTGGCTTTACACGAAAGTAGCCATCTTCCTTTATCGCAGAGGCAAGAATGGAATGATGCACAAAGTAAAGGCCAGGTCAAAATCCAAAGCAGTACGAATGCTCACAATAACCGTTATTGGATATGTGCTGTCTCTTGGTCCCTATGTTGTTGTGGCAATGCTCAGATCCTACGGTATTTTTAACGAAACTCCATTTGGTATCATGTTTCTCATTAATGGGCTGGTCGATTTTGCCTATCACACAAGTTCACTTGGAAATCCGTTGATTTATTCGTATTACAACGGAAATTTTCGAAACGAAATCGTCCGGCTTTGTAGTAGAAGTAAAGGTGGAGAGGTAGCTCCATATGCAGTGACATTTGTTAATTCACAAATGAATAACTAATCACATTTGCGTCTCTTTCTTTCTTAAGAAAGACAGCACTGAGTGATTTGCACAGTTTCATTAACCAGTTGATGAGTTCTACATTGTAAGGGTTGAAAACATTTCCAACGAATTATGAATTTGTAGGAATTGTACCTTATACCAGCCTGGGAAATCACACGTGTCTACATTTTTGAAGCTTTGCATTAACTTTGCACTTGTCATGAGTTTGAGATAGCGGTTTGGGATTATTTAATTTCGTAAAAACCATAACTTTAATAATGGCACTTATTTTAGATGCGCTCAAATAGTCTAATATTGATATTTTTTTGTAAGAGGAGGCAAACAACTTTCATTATAAGCCAAACTATTGGATATGGTTCTCAACGTCGATGTAGGCGCCTCATTAGTTTGTCGAACCAATCAATCAAATCTTTATTCATAAGCTTTAATTAACTTATAAGAATATGATAAAGAGCTACTGAGATGACTTTATTATCGTAGAAGTTAACTGGCAAATCCAATAGATTTTCATCGGAAAGTCGACACATTAACGGTTGGGGAGGTAGCAGACAAAATAAGGAGCATTGTTTGTGGTTTCATATTGTTATTCAAGTGGAAATGATAAAATACATTTAACTCTACTTTTCTAAAACCTTCATTCGGATGTTTTAAAAGGAGCGGTAGAAATTGATTTTTTCAAGCCCCTACCTTTAAGTAGAGGTCACTAAGAGGTCACAATTTTAATACGTAATTGAAAATTGCTAAAAACCATAGAAACGAGTTTGCTAACAACATTAGCATTTTTAAAACGCCTCGGGATGTAACTAAAGCTGCTGCACGTAGATGACTGATTTGCAGATTAAGTATATCATTCATAGGTACAGAAACCTGCTAATGGCGTTTGATTTACATGCTAATGGAACTTTATCTTCTCGAGATGTAATGTTCGAAGCTGACGTAGAACACAGAAATAAAGAAACAGAGCAATGAGTCGTTGAGCGGAAGAGTGAACTCTCAGGTACAATAACACGAGCTCTTTCTTATTGAGAAACTTTGAAGGATCTCATTAAACTGAAAACTACTCATCAATTGGAAACGATTTAATTTCCAAACATTTTTCAGCTGGTTTGGTATTGAAACTCAAGTTATGTGTGATGGCTGAGGGAGATGCCATGAGGAATGACACGCTGTACAAGTTCGTTAATCCGGGTTCAACACTTTCGCTGATTCGCTCGTACCAAGAAGCGAGAAACGTCTTCGCTATTTCTCTGTCTTTAAATTTACTCCTCATTGTGTTGGGAATAATTGTGAATGCGATCATATGCTATGTTATGCTGCGTGGGAAACGCTATAAGCGAAACAGTTCCAATCTATTTATTACTCATTTGTCGGTGGTTGAACTGGTTCATCGCTTGCTTATCTTTCCCATTCTAATTTACTTCGCCATTCCAGCATCGGGAATTCAAAGTTTCCAGTGTAAAGTTGTATCATTCTTTTCTCACGTCTCTGCATCGGCCATATTTGTTAGCCTGGTTGCCATTGCTGCTGATAGATATCAAAACATTGTCCATCCATTGGCAAACTTGAAATCAAACAGAAAGCCCAGTTTGCTCCTAATTGTGGTTTGGGTGTATGCTACCGTCGTGTCAATCCCAACTATTTTCAGCGTAAAAGCCGTTCCAGTTTCAGAGATTCCGGAGGCTAAAGGTATGACCTGCGACGCCGATTGTGCTGGCAAGAAGCTGTGTGATATCCCTCAAAACTCATTGGGTCGATTTTCAACCACTTTATATTTTCTTCTTGCATTTGTTATTAAACTTGTCGTCATATTTATATTTTACACCAAAATAGCCATCTTCCTGCATAATAGAGGCAAGAATGGGATGATGCACAAAGTAGCGGTAAGATCTACGTCCAAAGCAATACGAATGCTAATAATAACTGTATTAGGATACACGATTTCTCTCGGTCCTCGTGTTGTTGTGGCAGTATTGAGATCTTACGGCATTTTTAACGGAACTTCATTTGCGGCCATGTTTTTATTTCATGCTTTGGTGGATTTTGCGAGTTATTCAAGCTCAATGGGAAATCCCCTGATTTATTCGTACTACAATGGAGATTTTCGAAAGGAAATCGTTCGGGTTTGTCGCAGAAAAAAAGATAAAAAAATTGCCTCATATGCAGTGACATTTGTAAACTGTAACACAAACAACTAACTGAGTGATTTCGAATTTTTAGGTGGGAAAGAACTCACCAAGTTGTGTAAATTGTAGACAGCAATAGTAAAATCAGAGTGGCTTACGCGCAAAATTGGCTATAATGAAATGTATATCGTGTACGTGCTTCTGTCAGGTTAACGTTATGGTAATTTTTAGTACTTAGCTGTACAAAGTTAAGAGAGATTTATTCCCTATTTCTTTTCTTGATTTATCTCTCTTGTCTGGTTCAATACGTTCGACAGCGAACGGCTCGCAGTGGGAGCTAAACATCACACTGTTGAGTTGGTTCAGCTTCAGGGACAAGACAAGTGGTAATTACAAGTAGCGCACATGCAGTTGGAAAGCGCGTATCATTTACTATGAACCAAGTTAGATTTAAAATCCTCTTGTCAGCCCTTGAGACTGTTTGAAGAAACTTTTAGATACGCTGAAAACGTGTTGAGAATTATAAATATTCTGAGAGATAACTGCTACCGAGGGCAGTGTTCATGATAATCGTGTAAAGCAGAGTCAATTTTGCATTATATGGGATGACGGTAATATGATCCGTCAAATGCTGAAGGGCAAGCTGTGTTAATGTGTGACATGTTCGACATTAAACTGTGACTCTGTAATATAAGCATGTTGTTAAGTTTCGAAATGGTGACATGGGAAATCATTTTAACCCCCATTAGCTGCATGGTAAAGTTTTGGATTCAATGACAGTAAATGGAGTTTAATGTAATTTAATTTTGTGCTCTTAGATTTCAAAACATTATTTTAGTTATTTAAGTCTCGCTTTTCGATAGTTATTTTACTTACTTGGAAATCTTGCAAATAATCCCAGCTATTATCAAAAAGCTTTTTCTTTGATTAGGTTTTTAAAATTTAATTATTTCCGTCGAAAGATGAACATTTTAAATTGAACGTGGGCCTGTTTACTTTATAAGGCAGCGACATGCGATGTTTCTCAATGTGTTTATTTAAAATGTCTCAACAAGCGTTAAAGTTATGAAATCTGCCTAGCATTTTTCAGCTGTTGCTTAGTTACAGGGAAATTTGCCGTAAAAATGCCATGATGCGGTTTGCCTAGCCGTCTAGAAGGAAAAGCATCATTTGCCAAGAGACTTTCTGCCATGTATGAGCAACAGCTACTATGATGTAGGCCATAAGTTTTGTAACTTAAGAAGTAGAGATGTTTTATATGGTGACTTTCTATCTAATTTTTGTAAAATGTGTTGACGCACAATATACAATGTAAATAGTCTTCGGCAATCAGATGGTGCACGGTAAAAATTTAATTAACTTTTCACCGTATGTTGTCCAAAGTCAAGCTTACGCCCACAGAGATATACATCTGCACTGTTAGATTTGATAGTAACGTATTTACAATTTTTTTGTGACTAAGTTGTTTAACTTTGTACATAAATTATAAAAATAAATTTTTAACATTATTAAGGCTTCTCATTCACTCAAAAGTTTCTTGCAGGTCTCTGTTATGTCAAACATGGCAGTCAAACTGAATTATCCCATCCAAGCTTGAATCATTTTTCCCAATAAGTATTACTGTAAAACGTTTCCCGGAAATCTCTGTTATATTAGACATGGTAGTCAAATTGCATTTACCCCATCCAATCTTAAATCATTTTTCCCAATGAGTATAACTGTAAGAAAATCAAACTTAACGAGATAAAAATTGATCTCGTCAAGTAATGAGTTTAGTGAAAACGTGAGCCTTCATTTTGATTGGTGATTTGCCATGAGTTGTCAGTTTCATTTCCAGTTTTTGTTTATTGTATGACGTAGGCGGCTTTCATCCTTTTCATACAAGAAATTTTATTTGGACAGATTAAAAGAAAAAAACATGAAAATTTGAAGAATCGATAAAGTAGGTTGTTGATCCTTCACGATTTAGTACGAATTTATCAGTCTTGCAGATCATTCTATCGCTGGCCAACTGCTCTCTCTTCGCTCTGACTAAAAGCTAACACTCGCATTCATTCTTAATGAAATTATTGCCGACGTATCTACTCTGTTAGTTTATGTTGTGAGAGATTATCTTTTGAATTCTCGGTTTCAGGATCGGAGTGAGAAGGGTGAAAATATTGCGTAACCAAACTAACTTTCATCCGTCTTTCTTTCGACTGTCAGGTTGAGAAATGGTGCTCCCCTGTAACTAACAAAACGATAGCGCAAATAACTCAAGTAGACAGGGAAACTCTGTGTTTCTCAGCATTCGCTCGTATGAGGACGCAGTGAATCTATTTTTTATTCATTGGCTCTCGATCCTCTTCTTGATAGTTCTGGGAATCGTTTTAATCGTCAGAATTTTCACGATCATGGTTAGGAGGAACCTGTGTTCAGCAGAGTTGGTTTATCGCCTGCTTGTCTTTCCTTTGACTATTTACTTTGTCATTCCGAGGTCCGCAACCAAAAAAATTCTCTGCAAGTTGGTATTTTTCTTCTCAGGGACTTGGCGATCGACTATATTTGGCAGCCTGGTTGCCATAGCTATCGATAGATACCAGCACGTTGTCCATCATTTTGAGTCTTTGAAATCAACAAAGGGAAGTCGTACTCCTCTTGTCCTTATGGTCTGGTTGTACGCTGCATTGACATCGTTTCCCTTGGCTATAGGTGTTAAAAACGTGCCTGTCGTGAGCATCCCTGAAGCCTAAAGTATGGAATTTAACAACTGCATTGACATAGCGCTTTGTAGCATTCCACAAACCTCTTTGGGTCAGTTTGCAACCATGCTTTATTTTCTTCTCGCGTTTGTTTTTCCATTGGCTCTATTAACTGCATTGTACACGAAACTTGCCATCTTCTTGCACAAACGAGTTAGCAATGGATTGATACATATTTACTATGGCCAGTTCTAGAGAAGTCAAAATGATCTTTCATCATAATTTCTGACTTGAAGTCGTAAAGTGAGTGGTACATCTTCCTAAGTACAATCATCAAGGTCCAATTTTCATATGTGGCTTGAGTAATGAATGCTATTGGCGTAGCTAAGTCTGAAATTTTTGAAAAATGGTAAGATTGTTAATCACATTTTTCAGTTTTATTTTTTCTGTATTAAAAGTAACAAACTGTTCTTTCACGCGAAATTGTGAATGAAATATTTCGCATGTTCACCTCAGCACGAACACTGCTGTTTGTAGAAAAAACTATCCGATTCAACTTTTCACGTCATCCATAATGATTTTAACTTAACAGGGATTAAAAAGGAGTTAGTACATTGTTTACATACTAGCATTTTAAGTTTGAGGGTACAACACTGATAGTGGTACGCTTCCCCTGTATGAAATATGCCATTAGTTATTAGTGTATCAATATTTGATGTATAGACGTAGACAACTACTATTCTTGATCCTCTGTGAAGCTCCTGCAAGAAGCGTTATATAAGAATAAATATGGCCAAAAAGTGAACGCGTTCTAACTGATAACGTATGACAAGAGCGCTGATGAAATTCTTCTCTTACAGGTGGGCAGTGTCGCCCTGGAGACCCTGCTCTAAGACTTGTGGAAAGGGTCTCCAGTACCGCTCGGTTCGTTGCATGCGTCAAACTACAAATGGCACCACTGTGGAGAGCCCTAATCATTTGTGTCCCAGAGATAAACCTTCTGGGGTCCAAAACTGCATAAAGAAAGCGTGCCATTTGAATTGGGTGGTCGGTCCATGGTCTCATGTAAGTTCTAATCGTAAGTAAGTTTTTGTAAAACAGCTGAAATTCTCGCGATCGCTTTCGCGAAATGTTCACACACGAGTCAAATTCGTAGCTGACACTTTACCTGACTGTTTGAAGTGACACAAGCCACAAACTGATCATAAACCAGCTTGCTGTGCATACCACCTTACTTCTCTTTACTTTTTTTTTTCTTGTGGTATCTCGCAGTGCCACGGTCTCTGCGGTGTTGGACACCGTGTGAGGAATGTCCGCTGTCCAGTGGCTGGTAAGTGTGCACACGGGAAGAAACCGCCCAGCCGAAAATTCTGCTCAAGAAAATCGTGCTATCAATGGATTATTGGACGATGGAGCAGTGTGAGTACCTCTAAGACTACAATATAGCCATTCAAGGTTAATATATAAGCACTTTATCTATTTCACCTCAACACCTACAATTTCGTCAAATCCGTAATGCTTACAGACAATGACGTTTAAACTTTTCTAGAACCGGAAGAAAACCAAATACGAAAAGAAAAACCGAAAGTTATGTTTTTAGTGGCTTTGGTAATGACGTTTCTCACCGCTGAGAACGATAATCGATTGCTGAAAGATTTGCCACAGGCCGATTTTGGTCGTGTACCTGAAAGACTTACTCTGTCGGTAAGGACAAAGTCAATAACCGAGAATTTTGTATATTGAAAATTACGCCCATTGTTTTTGCAATGATTCAAGGCATTTTTTCATCTTGAGCCTCAGCGCGAACGCGCTTTGGTGCTAAGGCTCAGCGCTAGCTAATATGTTTTTTTAGGGGGGGGGACGATTATGAATATTCCTAATAAACGAAACTCTCTCCTGTTTCCTGTTCATTTTTCTTTTATCCCTGTTATATTTTTTTTGTCAGTGTTCCGCTGGTTGTGGTTCAGGAGTACAAAGACGGTCAGTGACTTGTTTGCACAGACTAACAAGGCGAGTCGGTGAAAAATGCAGCGCAGACTCTAAACCAGCATCACAAAGGCAGTGTAAAGTCAAGGAATGCAAGAAAATAGGTATGTGTACGTATTTAACCATGCATGGCATAAATTAAAGTAGTGTTCATTGGACAGCAATTGCTCCTTTAAAGCTGTAAGTCATCTTCTACCAATTTTGCAGAGATTTGAGGTTTAACCGTGACTGGTCATGATTGCTCTATCAAGCGGAGATGTTAATCGTCTAAAACCAAGGTGCCCCCCCTCCAAGAAGCTAAGGGGAACTCGAGCCAATATTTATGACTTCTACTCGTGTTCAGCATTATTTGTTTCTCCATTTATCCACAAAAGGGAAGAGAATAGCTAGAACATAAAGGCGCCTTTGAAATAACTGCTTTCTCTTATTAATTACTGTAAGGCTTTTACCGAAAAAATGCGTTTTTAAAAAATACTCACGGTTATCTAACCGTGCCTTCATCGATGCAATCATTCGCCCCCTTAAAACCATCAGCTTTCAAACGCTTTGTTTAACATCATCTCGAATCTTGTGAGAAAAACGTCGAACGTATTTTTATTCAATATGATTTTTTACCAGATGTTGTGTTAGAGACAGTGTGTCACAGAGATAAGTACTCCAGCAAGCAGTGCCGAGCAGTGCTGAGATTTGACCTCTGCTCCACAAGGGGGTGGCTGGACCTCTGTTGTAAGACATGTGAGGATGCTGGTCGAAACTAAATGTAGGTTTTTTAAACGCGTCAATAGAAAGTCTGATCTTGGAAGGGGGATTCTGAGGGGAAATTTGGGTAGTGGTTTGCAACTAAGACCCTTAAACCCAGATTTTCTTTAGACAAATCCCATCATTGCACCCTCCAGTCTATAAAGAAACAATTTTATATATTGTGGCATGTCCACCTTATGATGCCAAATCCATCCATTTCAGAGGTGACCAATAAGTGATTTCTCCTTTTAATATCAGTCAATTGCCACGCAGAAAGGTGACGGAGCCATCAAAGAATTTTAATTCATCATAATTGCATATCACCTAAAAGTTTAGCTATGGTGTGTTTATTTACATGTGTAAAGGTACGGGCTTTATGAATTCGTATAGATACTGAGTTTCTATACATCACTTCCTTTTAATAAATAAATAAATATATTTCTTTATTTTAATATATCTAGAATTAAAGTTAATGATACACCAATCAAAGAATAGCTGTCTCAACAAGTCAACCAAACTAGATCTGATTCATAAGAAGCTAAGAAAATTAGTTTGTCACCAGCCCATTACAGATAAGTTTCTGTATTTTGTAACCTGTTTGCCTTTTTTTCATTATTAAATGTCTCTTATCAAATCAGTTGTTGGTATTAAATATACTCTTACTCTGATAATAACTTGTGATTAAAAAAATTGTTTTGAGCTCTTTTTGCTGGGAAATTTTAAACTGTTCTACACATGCCATCGCTTTAATTTTCTAATTAAGCAAAATTGACTGCTTTTTTCGATTGTAAAGCAGATGTTATAAAGAGGCTCATGAACGAATTTTCATTAATCCAATATTCTTGCACTCAAAATCGTTGTTGAGATTATCTGTCTGTTTTGTGAAAGTATTAAAGTCACAGCTCTCCTGGAAGCGATAGGAAGTCAGTAACCGAAGCAATTTCTCTTGAGTCGTAGAGTTCCTCTTGGAAGGTTTGTAGGAGACAGATGGCTAAGAAAGCATCTCACATGTCCTGTTGTAAACAAAACATTTTTATTGTTTGTCATTCATAAATACCTCTTTGAAAAGGTTTAGTGGAGCAGACTACCGCCAAAATTGAGTGATCTTGAGGGATTTAATTTTTTTCTTTCCTTTTCTTCTAAGTAAAAAAAAGTTATATATAAAATTGCAATAAAAACTACTCGAGATAACTCCATTCAGTCTTTTTCTCTGCTTGTGAGGGGATTCCTACTACCTTTTTTGTGAATTCATAAAATTGGAAGAGAAATTTTATACTATTTTTTTATAGTATTATTTTCAGATTTCTTTCTCGATATCCCCTCATAAAGTTCTTGTTAACATTGCATCGAGACGTTTGGTAAATGTTATGTGAAATATTAGCTTATTCCATATTCATACCTTTAAAGGCTCGATCACAACATCATTTAAGCCATGTTGCGGAGTATTATTGCTCTGAAACAAAAATGTTGACGCTGTTCATGGAAAATTTTATGTCTAAGATTTACCATTACAAACACTTTACCAAATTTACCCGCTATGATAAGAGACTTGCGGAAATTGAAAGTGAATGTTTGTCACATGACTTAAATACTGTTCCAATAATCACTTCCACACACGTAGAATTGTTGGAAAAGAGGGGGGTAAGTTCCTTAAGAAACTGTGGTGCTGCGTGGGCGAGGGGTGTAAAATGATAAATTGGTAAGAATTTTGGGTTGTGTCAGTTTTCTTTGCATGAAAATGAAGCAACGTTATTGTTGGGAACACGGTTACGAGGAAAAAAAAACGAATAAACTAGTTTAATGAAAAGCGTTGTATATCGTGGGGATTAAAAGTGCCGGGTTAAACCTTATCAAAATTCTAAGTGAGCATTGATATTCATGCAAGGGAGTCGTTTTACACTCGACTAGATAAGGATATGGCAAACAAATTTAAAATTCTACGATGTATCTTTCTCCACCTGTTATGGTGCGCAACTATCATTGTCATTCGAGAGTATTCCTCTTCCAACGCGATTTTCCATATGGCTACTTACATAGGAGACGGACTCTTCGGGCCAAACGATAGGTTGGAAGCTTTGGTACTGTTCGTTCTTTACAAGACGTGTTATTGTTGTTCTAGGTACATATTGCCTGTCAGACGTTACCATTGCATCAAAGTTCTGTGGATGAAAACTCCCAAAGAACGCTAAAATACGAGTTAGCCATAGATCTATATATTGCTTTCAGTCACAGGGCATGATTTGAAATAAAAAAAACTGCATGGCAGGCACTGGCTTTTGAAAAATTGTGAAGTAACTAATTTTAAAGATAAACTCGACCTTAGAAAGACTCGCCGAGACCTAACTGATATAAGACAATTCAAATTTTGGTAAAAGTTTGAACCTGATATTGAATTATCTAAAAACTTTCAAAAACCCTTGTTTTCCATTTTCTTTCCTTCCTGGCATCTAATCTTGACCCAAGAGAAATAAAACTAGCTATGAAGATTTCTAAACTTGTTTTCCTCGTTCGGCTTGGCAACTGAATCGACTGAGTCAGCTAACATCTATAACTTATTAACAGTTTGGACAGCAGTAGATTCAGACCTTATAAAAAGAGAAAAACATTATTAATAGATCGTATCAAAATCATGATAATTTTAACTTTTAACATGAGTAAGCTTTGCAGGTTAAGTGAATGGTATGATGAAATGAAAGTGTAAAGATTCTCTTTATCGTGCAGCAGTACCGGTCCCTCTCTAGATTCTTATAAATGTTTTCCAAATTCAACTTTATAAGATGCTAAGAGTAGAGAAATTATTGATAAAATTTGAAATTTTATCTTAAAATTTCAAACTATGAACATTCCAACACGTTATAAGATGGTTTATATAACATTTTGGCTTTTACGTCTCCCTCTCTAGATTCTTATAAATGTTTTCCAAATTCAACTTTGTAAGATGCTAAGAGTAGAGAAATTATTAATAAAATTTGAAATTTTATCTTAAAATTTCAAACTATGAACATTCCAACAAATCTGTTCGCCAAGAACCATTTAATCGTTCGGTGTTGTTTGTATGAAAACGAAATCGTGTGCAGAAGGCAGAAAAAAAAATCGCGTCCATGAAATAGTAATACCAATGAAAGGAATATCATGGCGTATAGACAGTGGGTAAATCCGTTTGTCTTGAACTATGAAACCATTCAGGATTGGTTGTATGAGGCCGAATTCACGCGCAGAAGGCAGAAAGATTACCTTTTATCAACATAAGTGACATTCTAATTGATTACAGAAGCCATTATAAGACCTTGCAGAATTTGGATTTACATTACATTTGGATTTGATGGATGTAAGGCGTGATAATCGTAGTCTTGGCCTGAAATTAAAAGTCGGTTTTTCCCCTTAAAAAGCTGTCTTATAATTTATATATAGGCCCTTTTAGTATTACAACAGAAACATAATTACCTTAAATGAAAGGAAAAAAGGGTAAGCTCAGTTTAATTGAAAGTGGATATATGAAAATCATGTATGTGAAATGCCTAATGAGAAATGAATATGAAAGTTATCTTCGCAAAAAATTTTCATATATTCAAAACGATTGATTCATTACTTGACGAATTTCATTATGAACCAGCATAATGACCAGAGCACTGCACCGGTATCGCAGAGGTCATTGGTTCACATCCCATACAGGCCTGAATTTTCGGGTCTTATTTTCACTACTGCTACAGTAGTTTTCATTACTGCGAAGATCTCTTTTATATTCAAGCTCATATTAAAAGTAAACCAACAAGAGAAAATAAAAATCCCTCGTAGTCTGGTGTACTGAAGACCAAGTCGCGCCATTTCCTCTCAGTCTTTTGAACTTTCTGCATTACTGAGTAAGTCTTATTGAAAAAGTAAGCTAAATAAACGTCTCACCGATTCTTTTACATTTGCATTTGCTGCTGGAAAATCCACACCCAGTCTTTAGGCCACAACTGTTCCCATTACAGTACTGACAAATAGAGTCACAACTGAAAAGTGTGCCCCTACATTGGCCATTACTGCAATTATCATTTCGAGTACAGCGGTCACCATCGTTGCAAGCTACCCCATCAATGTCTGACCAAGTACTTACATTTTTACTAGTGTCGCATCTCTGTAAACAGAATATTAAATCCAAGAGCTTGATTGAGCCTTCCAGGCAGAACAAATAGTCTCTCTATTATCTTCTCAGACTGATTCACGTTAAGATTGAGATACAAATTGGAAAATGTTAGCAATTCCAATTTTTTTTCATAATATTTCCATTGATATCCACAAGAGGATTCAGTATTCATGCATATTTTTCCTTCTTCCCATAGTGCTTCATTGTTATTCCTACAGGAAGTTCTATATTAATTTTATGAAAGACACAAGGCTGCCAACCATATTACCTGGCATTGATGACCTGGTCTTGGTGAACCGTGATCGAAACACTGTCGTATACCGCTTTCGTTGATTACGCAGTATCCTGTTTTCACGCGGCACACGTCATTGTGGCACTCCACGCACGTGAGGCACGAGAAAGGCGTGCCTGAGCAAACCCCATTAGAGCAGCGATCGTTTATAGTGCACGCTATGCCGTCGGTGCATGGTAAAGTATCGTTGTTTGTCCAGGCGAACTTGTTGCTGTCGTTACAATCCTATCCAACAACAAAACACGATTCAGTAACATTAATCAGTTGAATCACGAAGAAGTTGTCTACCTTTGTTTAGCGGGCAAGCGAAACATTGAGGAGTTCATGGACTTAATCGCAACATAGAGAGGGTAATATTTTCCCAGTAACAGTTTTAGGGAGAATAGGCATTTTCAGGAGTTATTAGTGAAACTGTATTCTTTACTGTATAACGTCTGGCAGTATTGACCTGTGTTGACCTTTTAGTGAAAAAATAACAATTTAATCTTCCCTTGTGGACGTCATAAGTTTTCCTTGAAGCTTTTAGATTTTATCAAGATGTTATCCCACGCTAATAAATTTCATTTCTCTCCCTCTATCCGATGAACAATACGTATAAAAAGTTATACAGTAATAGAAATGTTACCTGACACTGATTGCTAGGGTTAACTGTACCATACGCGTGACAGTGGTTATTGATCTTACACTGCCTCAAGTCACATTGTGTACCCAGCTTGGTGTAGCAAGAATTGCATTTGCATGTGTAACTGCCAAGTGTGTTGGTGCAGTTATGTTGGCATGGATTGTTGATGCACTCATCAACGTCTGTTGAAAGACAGTAAAAAGGAAATATGAAGATCTTCAATTCATGAGCGAAAATTTGCAAATTACTTTTATCTCGTAAAGAAATAGTAATGACAGTAATTATGACCAAACAATCAAATTGCTGAACATTACAACTTCCTATCACACTCGATATTAAAATTGTCAAAAAGCTGCTTGATTGTGAATCATTTAAAAACACCAGTTTTTATTTCATAAATTAAAAATGCGTTATTGACCAAGCGTGAGGTCAAGATGGCTGGATATCAGTCGAGGTCTCTTCTTCTTGCGTTTTCATGGACCGACGCTAAGTTAAGGTACATAGAGACGCAAAAAAGAAATGAACGATATTGGTCAATAATGGAGTTATTTCGCCTCAATAAAAACCAAGAATGACTTGTCTATTTTCGAGAGCTGGGAAAGAAAGTCAACTTTTATGGCGTGTTTTGGTTTTTTTATTTCACACATAGAAAAAATTTTGATTTAATAACTTCATTCCTCATTGGTCTCGAATTCAACTAACTTTTCACCCTTGAGGCAACGTGAGCCACAACTCAATTTCCTGCAACACGAAATTCTCAGATTACTGAAAACCTTCTAAAATCGTCTTTCTCAAAAGCCATCCTGGATATATATAGTCAACTGTTTTACGGTAAATGCAATCGCCGTTCGTCATTTTACAGTTTCCTTACAGCATTTTGAATTTTTTTTCGGTAGGATCCGAAGAAAAAATTTTTTAAGTGTCACGCGTGGATGTCTACGTACACTGTGTACCGCAGGATCGGCGAAAAGGACAACGTTCGAATTTTTTCACTCTCTAGAAGCACTTGAGGATTCTAAATGAAGATAAAATATTTTCAATAGGAATTGGTATTGGTCAAAGAGAAATATGGAAAAAATCAGACTGCCGGACGTTTAGTTATTCAAAGACCGTGTCCGGCAGTGTCCGAAGAAAATTTTGTAAGTGTCACGCTTGGATCTCTTTGTAGTCTGTGTTCAGGGTCGGCGAAACGGACAAAGTTCGAATGTTTTCATTCTCTAGAAGCGCTTGAGGATTGTAAATGAAAGTAGACTATTTTTTAAGGAAAATTGGTGTATTGTTTAATATGTTATCTACTGCGCTAGCTAATTAAGGCCAAAATTTTCAATTAATTATTACTAATCGCATAACGTGATGACGTCATAAACGGAATTCACTGTATTACGACTTGCTAGTCAGAAGAACTGTGAGACACCACTGGATTTTGAACGCGACTACTCCAAGCGATGATTCAATAAAGGAGCTGTTTAAAACCGTGGACTGAGTTAATCTTCGACTGGCAAAATATTCAAAATCCACGGTGGTCTGCTACAAAGCGACAACTGGATAAGCGAAGATGGAAAACGCAGCTGAAATCGAGAAGGCTAAAAGCAAGCGTACAACAGCTAAAGGAAGATTCACAAGAAAGAAGAACTTCCTCACCAAGTCGATAGACAACAACCAAGGCGTAGAAATAGTTGAAACAAACTATGTGAAACTCGCGGAAGCGTACGATGAACTCGAAGGCAAACATGAAGCCTACATCGAGCTATTGCCAGACGATCAGTCTGAAGAAGCAGAAGTGTGGATGACAGAAGTCCAAGAGAAGTTTAATGAGGCGACCAATCGAAAAATCAAATATGTGGAACAAATCACTGTGAAAGAAAGATCAACACGTGCGTACGCGGAGCGTCAAGAATACATTGATAAAGCACGAACAAGACAGAAAACAGCGCGCGCAGTTTTCGAAGCTTCATACAAAAGTATCTCGCACGCGCTGCAATCTAAAGAAATTCCCAATTTTGCATTGAGAGATTTACAAATGCAAATTGAAGAAGAATTTTTGGAATGCAAACGATCAAACGCAGAACTGCTACAATTATTAACTCAAGACTCAGCAGAAGCTGAAATAAATTGGATCGCTACAATCCAAACCTGTTATCATGAAATAAAGGAGAAAATAGCGCTAAGCTACACTAATGTGGAAGAAGCTAAAGAAACAAAGCGGGAGTCTACCGCCTCAGCTTCCTTTCTACAACTAGAAAAAGTACGAATGCCTCACTTTGACGGAGAACTGCGCAAGTATCCGCAATTTAAAAGAGATTTCCAGAAGCAAGTTATGACTCAAATCCGAAAAGGTGACGCAGCGTACGTCCTACGCACCTGTCTCAAGGGGGAGCCAGCGAGATTGGTGAACTGCGTAGACGACGACATAGACGAGATGTGGCATCGTTTAGACGACAAATATGGAGACCCAGCCAAAGTTGCCGATGTCATCATTGACGAAATAAAGCGATTTAGAATGCTCAGAGAAGGAGAAGATAAACGCTTTATAGAATTTGTAACCCTCATAGAGGATGGTTATCGTAACCTAAAAAAGGACTCGGCTTGGAAACAGAGATCACAACCACAAGTTCAGTCAGCGTAATTGAGAAAGCACTCCCGTCAGATATCAAACGGAAATGGTCCGAACGGGTAAGCTCTCGTGACAGTCTTGTTGATAAAAGCAACAAATTTCCAAGTCTTCTCGACTTTCTACAGAGTCAAAGGGATGCCATTGAATACGAAAGTGCTACACTCCGTGCAGGAAGCGGCAACCAATATCACAAGGGCGCAGCACATTACTCGGAGGGTATCACAGTTGGAAAAGACGAAAGTACCAAAGAACCTAGGCCTAAGTGTCTGATTCACGAGAATGGTAAGCACTGGACGTCAAATTGCCGACTTTATCAAGCTAAGACAGTTGACGAAAAAAGGGATTTTCTCAAAGAAAAGCAAGCATGCTGGGCTTGTCTTAAGCCTGGTCACAGGCAGCGGACTTGTAGGATAAAAAGAGATTGCGGCGTGAATGGCTGCACGAGGAAACATCACCCATCAATTCACGAAAACGATGAAAGTACACCCCAGCAAGCTTCTGCCTCCGCCAATGTATGCAGCGACTCCAACGTCGATACATGTCTCCTCCAAGTACAGAGAGTAAAAACCAGGAAGGGGACAGCTAATGTAATGTGGGACAACGCAGCCTCACTTTGCTTTATAACCAACGCCAAAGCGAAACAAGAGAAACTCAGTGGAGTCAAAGTGAATCTTTCAATAGTGAAGATAGGAGGGCAGAACGAGGAAATCGAAACAATGAAATACAAGCTACCACTTTTGGACAAGCGAGGTCAAGCCGTGGAATTCGAAGTATATGGGATCAACAAAATCACCTCTGATATCGAGCATGTAAACATAGAGAGCATCGCCCACCTATTTAGAAACGTTTCAAAGGATGAAATAGCGCGACCCGCTGGTCCAGTTGATGTGTTGATCGGTTATGAATACGCCGCCTTTCACCCGGAAAGGGAACAGAATAATGGGCATCTTGTACTACTGAAAAATCGTTTTGGAAGATGCGTTGGAGGAACTCACCTACTGCTTAAAGAAACGTGCATGACCCATAATCTTGGAAACGCGAGAGTACACTTTGTAGGCAAAGTCAATGTCGAAGATTTTTACACTATCGAGGCACTTGGTGTACAGTGCAAACCGAAGTGCGGGGGATGCAAGTGCGGAAAATGCTCCTTGGGCGCCAAAGATTATACCATACAGGAAGAAAGGGAACTGGAGTTAATTGAGCGGAATTTAAGATATATCGAGAACGGGAATTACAAAAGATTATGTCCTAAGATGCGAGAAGATGGTATATATGTGATTAGAGGACGAAGCAAGTTATGGATGGAGATGAGCTACAACAAGAGAGAAGTAATACTCCTTCCATACGATCACCCATTCTCACGTTTATTTACAGAGCAAATACACAGAAAAGAGCATCATGGGATATAAACTACAGCCAGCAAAGTGCGTACCAGGTACTGGATCCCGAAACTGTTGAAACTTGTGCAATCAATCAAGTCCAAATGCGTCGTTTGTAGAAAACTTGATAAAAAAGTTAGTGAACAAGTAATGGGCAACCTTCCAACTGAAAGGCTGAAACCAGCCCCTCCATGGAGCAGTACAGGCATCGATTTGTTTGGACCTTACAAGATTCGCGATGAAGTAAAGAAAAGAACAACATCTCAGGCGTATGGAGTGATATTCAACTGTCTAGGGACAAGAGCAGTTTACTTGGATATAGCAGCAGACTATAGTACAGACAAATTCCTAATGGTCTTCAGACGATTCGTGTCACTACATGGTTACCCATCTAAGCTATTCTCAGATAACGGTACCCAACTCGTCGCAGCAAATAAAGAGCTTTCTAATATGACCAAGACTTGGGATTGGAACAAACTAAAAGGTTTTGGCATAACTGAGGGATTTGAGTCGATCTTTACATCCGCAGACGCACCCTGGCAGAACGGAGTCACAGAAGCTCTCATAAGATCTGTAAAACGAGCTATTAACGCTTCTATTGGCGATAGTACCTTAACATTCTCAGAGTTACAAACAGTACTTTACGAGGTCGCCAACTTGCTGAATGAAAGACCAATAGGAAGGCACCCTGCGTCACCTGATGACGGTGCATATCTTTGCCCAAACGATCTTTTGCTTGGTAGAGCAACGGCACGAATACCAAGTGGCATGAACTTTGACGAGCGAGCGAGTAATAGAAAACGGTTTTCGTTCGTACAAACGATAATATCTTCTTTCTGGAAGAAGTGGACGCAAAATTACTTTCCCAGTTTGCTGATACGTCAAAAATGGCATACATCCCACCGTAACTTAAAAACTGGAGATATCGTTCTTATACAGGACTCGAGCTTGTTAAGAGGAAAATGGAAGATCGAGAGAGTTTCTAATACATATCCAGGAACGGATGGGGAGTCCGGAAAGTAGACGTCGAATACAAGAACATAACAAATGAGCCTGTAACTAAATATAAAGGAAAAGGCTATATAAGTGTACAGCGACCAGTACAGCGCCTAATATTAATACTGCCTATTGATGAACAGTGACTGAACTCTTAAATTTACTTGTAAATCGTATACTTACTATACCTCATTTTAGATGGGGGAGTGTATTGTTTAATATGTTATCTACTGCGCTAGCTAATTAAGGCCACAATTTTCAATTAATCATCACTAATCGCATAACGTGATGACGTCATAAATGGAATTCACTGTATTACGACTTGCTAGTCAGAAGAACTGTGAGACACCACTGGATTTTGAACGCGACTACTCCAAGCGATGATTCAATAAAGGAGCTGTTTAAAACCGTGGACTGAGTTAATCTTCGACTGGCAGAATATTCTACCTATTCTTCGACTGGCAAAATAATTGGTATATTTCAAAGAGAAATATGAAGTTATTTGAGGACCGTGTCCGGTCGTGTCATTGAAAATTTTATAAGTGTCAAGCGCTTGGATAACGTTGTACTCTGTATACGGGGTTGGCGAAAAACATCAAGTTCGAAATTTTTGGCCGACTAGAAGCGCTTGACGATTTTGAATTAAGGTAGAACATTTCGTATAAATATTTTGGATTTCGAAGAGAAATATGGAAAAATATTGGACTGCCGGACGTTCAATTATTTTAAGACCGTGGCAGCCGCCGAACGTTTAGCTACTTCATTGTAGGAACGTCAGCGACACTAACAGTTTGTGTAAGATCTGGAAGATTACATTTATAACAATTACTCATAAAAAACCAAGTTCTGAAACAGCAAAATGCTATACGGCCGAAGAGATATACGAAAAACGGATTTATTAAGACAGATAGACTCCCGTTTTAGAAGCAATTATACACCACAAAGGATTAGCGTATCGCTGATTATAAATTTGAATAGTCTAAACTAACTTCTTCAAGATGCCCACACCGAGACATTAGTCCATAGTTTCGCTGCCTGAATACGCAAAATTTTTCAGGATGGAGACTCACCTTTCTCGCAACATGTTCCTTCGTATCCCAATCGGCAACGACATCCGCCACTATTCGGGGTGCCGCCGTTATGGCAGTTACCCCTGTTACACGATCGCGTCACCACCAAATTATATGGACATTGTCCACCACACTGCGCGGAAAACGTTTTCTGTCGCGTGCGAGTCTGCGTGCCATTAGTTCCACAACGATGGGAGCAAGAACTCCAAACACTCCAGCTTCCAACCCGACAGTTTACCGGATTGCATGGTGCTCTTCGAATTCGTCTTCGTCTTCGCCTCCACGAGAAAGTCGAATTGATCTCAATGCACAAGAGCAGAAAGCAAATTGTCAAAATGCTGATTTTCATATCGCGTTTCTGTCAGTTGTTTGCTTAGTAATTTCTTTTACTTAGTTAGACCTTATAAAATCGTCTGGCACTACCGGAAACCACGGACATTTAGCGCCGGCGGTAAATCTGACCAGTTTATAAGCTGCGCATGCTTTAAAGTATGTAACAAGATGGCGGACGGAGAGAGCAAGAAATGAAAACAGAATGATCATAAAGCGCTTTACGAATTCTTTCCAACGGATAATTATCAAGTAAATGATAAGGAACGATATCGGTCCAAATCTAAGATTTTTCAAGTCGAAAGATTGCTTTCGAAACGGAAAAGCGGCAATGGAAGTACTTACTCGACCGTTCCACTTCTTATTTATTTCCTCATAAGAGAAAGAGTACCTTATCAAGTGGAAAGGATGGCCCATGTCATCATGTACTTGGGACCCTGCACTCCATCTGTCTAAAGAGCTTATCTGGTGAGATGAATTATTACCGCAACAACATAATTTTTCAATTTATACTAAAATGTAAAAAAAAATTTAAAAAGTTGAAGTAAATATAGTGCCTTCAGAACAAGACAGGCTTTTTAGTTGGCTTCCAATATTTAAATTTTTTAAAAAATTTGTTTTTGTTCTAATAAATCTGTTTTCTGAAGCTCCTCTAGACTTTGTAATAAGCCTCCACAATCCTCAGAAAGTGAAATTGCTTCAGCATCTGGTGGCTTTTATTTGGCAGTCAAGTGAATTTAAAAATCAAATGCTGTCAAAGTGCAGCACACTTGCTCATTCAACATAAAGCAGGATGTCTATTGATATTTTTTAACTCAAAGGAATAACATCAATGGACTCTAAATACACCATGCTCAGCTTAAAGGATTTTTACATGTTGTCTCTACCCTATCATTGGTGGTATATATGTGGATGCTCAGGGAAAGGCTATTGATTTTCCTTTAAAGATGAAAGCTTACGTTGGAAACTCACCAAAGCATTTCATTGTGAAAGTAGGGAAACTTATTCAAGCTCCAACAATACCCCTTGAGGTGGTATCTCTCACAATTAATACTAAAACATGCAGTAAAGAATATTTACCAACCTAAATTTTAGCTATTTAATATTTTTAGTAAAGCCAACAAAGCATTGATAGTTGGAAGATAGAGTTACATGTAAAGGACATACAGTTTTTACATTTGGATGTATTTAAGACAGTACAACATGCTTGTCATCAATAATATTTTAAATCATGTTTTTATATGAAACTGAGTGTGCTTAGAATTGCTTTTAAGTTTCTATTTTAATTAATTATTATTATTATTGATTTTTTTTATTTTAAAGAATATTTACCAACCTAACTTTTAGCTATTTAATATTTTTAGTAACACCAACGAAGCATTGATATTTGGTAGATAAAGATACATGTAAAGAAGGATATAAAATTGTTACATTTGGATGTATTTAAGACAGTACAATATGCCTGTCATCAATAACATTAAATCATGTTTTTATATGAAACTGAGTGTGCTTAGAATTGCTTTTAAGTTTCTATTTTTAATTGATTTTTATTTTCCCTGATTTTTTGCTATTGAAAGGTAGCGGAATTTAAATTGTTAAGCAAGTCAACGCGATATAGAAGTCAAGCCAAATAGAAGTTTGTGCAGCAGTGCCTTCCTATTGTCAGTGAAGAAGAGAAATAAGTTGGGTTTTTGTTCATTTTACTCAGTCCTTTTTCCCTCTTCATTTCTTTGCAAATCCCTCATTTCATTTATCAGCTTTTGCTTTCCTGCCTCTAAAGCATTATTTTTTTTCTTCCAGTCTGAAAGCTCATCTTTTGTGAGATGAAGGTCCCTTTTCACTCCCTTAATAGACACTAGTTCACTATGTAGAATGCTTAAAGTGAGACATTATGAATTAAGCTGTTCTCTATTTTTTCCTTTAGTTTGTCTATATTTGCATGACACAACTCCTGCCTCTCTTTCTAGCCTGCCTTGGATAGGGTAGCCTGTCTCTCAGCTCTAAACCATGATCTGAAAACTGTGGCATTGAGAAAGTCAATGTAATCACATCTATCCTGAATATTTTCATGCCATATCTTTAATAATGGGTATGGTATATTTACTGTCAGAGCAATTTGAAATCTAGAAACCCCTTGCTGTTTTATTAATGACAAAGGTGGACCTGGGACAGAGATTTTCCACTCAGCTTCTCTGCATGTACCTTGAAATGACATCTGACATTTTTGTGATATATTTTGGGTTTCTTATATTTATGCGAAGGAAATCTGAAATCGAATTTTCAAATTAAATCTAGGCTTTCTGTAACGAGTCCCAGTTCTTCGATGTATGAGAACGCCCGTGACTGATGAATGGTTCAGTCAAACCTCTAGTTTTTTCAGTGGGTATACATTCTGTGCCTACATACATGGCCTATATATAATTGAATAAACCAGGTAACAAAACATATTTTGGGAGAAAGAAAATGGAAGCCCGTTGTGTAGAAATTTTGGGCAAGACTACGGTGGTTTTTGAAGTTCCCTTGGAACTTATTTCCTGCATGGAAGAAAGCCGGAAAATACACTAAAAAAAACTGCAACAAAAGGAGAATGTTTTGCGAGGTCGAGGAACCATTGTTTTTTATAAGACGCCTAACCGTACGACCTTTGATTGAGGATACCTCAGACAAATCTAAGACACTTGAAGGAGTTACTCTAGAGCAAAAAACACCCTATTTGATATGACAAGGAAGTCTCTTTGATTTATCTACTTATATTTTCGAATTTGTCGGATGTTCTGAAAAATAATGTGAGGTCGGGGAAACCGATGTAAGTAAGGTAAACATGCTCAATTAGGCGGGTGCACAATATGTGGTGTACAATACAGATTGGTCTGTTTTTCGTTTTCTCAGTGATTAACTTTGTTTTGCATGAGTAGCAATTTATGCTGAATGGCAAATGATACAAAACGTGCCAACCTCATTTTTTGCCATTTTTTGTGCCTTTGTCATTGTTACGTTTCTTTGGGGTGTCCGGAAAGCTAAGACTAAGAACCAGAAAACTAAGACCCTGGTGTTTTTTTAGGGGAAATCATCAAACTTCAGCTTCCTTTACCTTTAGGTGGTAAAATGAATAAAATAAATGCACTCACACTTAAAAATAACAATTTAGCTAGCCTCTTCCAGACATTCAGACATATTAAACCGTTAAGGCGTTACGCGCGATAAAAAGCAGCCGTGACGGAACTTCAGACGTCAAATAACTTTTTTGGTGAAGTAATTATTTCAACACCTATTATCTCGAGTACTTCTGGGTTATATAACTTTTGACACATCTCTAGAAATAAAACCAATAATTTCCACCGGCAAAGAATTTCACTTATCTGATGGCCTTGCTGCCATTCGATTCCCAACCAAAGCCAGTTATGTCCAAATGGCCATTAAATTATCATGAATAATATATTTCTACCAGTTTCGTATTGTTTACTGACGGAAACTTGACGTGATTATGGAGATAACAAAACGAAAAACGCAAAACGAAAAACGCAAAGCACCTTTTCGAAAAATACCGTTTTGCAAGGTAGACAAAGCACTGCTTCACTTCATTCGTTTTTTCGCAAACTTAAGTAACTATAACTGGGTCACAATTCGCCGAAGCTGTGGAGTGAGTGAGCGTACAACAAAAGAAAAAAAAACAACTTAAAAAAAATGGAAGCTGGTGCTATTTAAATACCTAACCATGAAAAGTAAAGCATTGGGACCAAGGCAACACGTGCTTCCGCCGACGAAATCATCAGACCGAATCGGAAATTTAAAATAGCTCATTAAAATTTTAATTAACTGTTTTTAACACATATTTTAGAACATTTTATCACGCCATTAGTTTTCATGCGTCCTACTGGCTAGATTTACACTATGCTAATTTACAGTGGCACCTCCAACGTTTAAAACCATAGTGCAAATATTTTATCGTCCTCCCTGATGATGCCGTAGAACGGCGAAAGCTCGGAGTGAATAAAGAAAGAACCACAGTAGCACTTAAAGGCTTCATTTGATCAATATCCCACATCACTACGACATGCTACTAAAGGACACGTTCAAACGTTGAGAAACTCAAGTAGAAAGAAATAAAATATTTCTATGGTTTAATAAAAATAATAACCATAAATCACATTTCCGAACTTATGAAAATGCAACTTGAATCGAGAAGCCGAAATGTTCTCACCTAGGGAACCCGCAGCGGGTTCATTTCAACGCACGCTATGACCACGCGAAAGAGCACCAGAGGTAGCTATATTGGTAAGCCGCGTATTTGCGTTCGTCTTCAGTTGGTATAAAGTAATCATTGCTTTATCATTGTACTTTTCCTCGTGAGCTCTTCAACATACAGTCCACATATCAATTCTAGCGGCAAAGACAGTCTCACTAGAATTTTTTTTCGAGCTCCAATATTTCGGTCCGGACTTGAGGCCCGCTCGAACAAAAACCGGCAACAATACCAATCTGGTCAGTGCAAAATACAGACCGCAGACTGCAGACTGCAAACCTTTTTTCCAATTCTCATTACGAAGAACGCACAAGTTTTCTTATCATACAACTACCCAAAAATAAGAGAGAATTTATTCCATAAGTCTTGAAAGTTCGCATAAACCGAATTCAACTGTACCTATATTCAACAAGTCCAAGAAATCGATACAAACTTGAGCCATAACATGAATGACCTGGCTCTAAGAGCCCTTTGATTATTGATAGCGAGTGATCTTCCCATTAAATATCCTCTAAACCCCTTTCATGTACGACCAGTGTTACAAAGTGTTCAGATTTTCCGCACTCTCCATGTTGATTACATGTCACATCTTCGCTTAGTGTACTTCAGGCTTGTTGTGGATAGTTCAAATCCAATAGTTATGCTACGCTGTGTGAAGGTTGTTGGTTTTTCTTTTTTTGTACCCTGCATATTTTATACCAAAAAATGTCTGAAAAGATCTTTCCCGCCTTGCGCTGCCATAGTAACATTGCTAGTTTGTCCTATTATGGAGCAATGTTACTTCATTTCTGGACTACCATAGATCCATATCGACTTGGGTGTCGTGTGTTCATATGGTTACGCTAATGTCGAGTCAATCGTCTTAAAGTC